CTGGTCGAGCAGGGACATCTGGTCCATCCCCCTCTTGCGCTTCCTGTTGCCGCCCGTCGAGTATGAATCCAGCATGTCTGCGTCGCCCAGCATCGACTCTGAAATAACAGTCTCGTTGTCCGGTGTCTCCTCGCGGAAGATCTGCGACCTGATCTGAGAGGCCTCGTACGGCTCTTCGCTAACTTGCGACTGCGCGCTGGTGGTTACGAATGCTGCGATATCAGTCAGCCCAATCTCCCGTATCCATGCTTGACAACGACCAATGAGAGTGACCCCCTACACTGCATAGACTCAAGCGAATAGACGTTTTTACCATTCCGAGCAGCCGCAGCCGCAGTTTGCTTGGGCGGCTTCATGCGATTCGACGCAGCAGTCGCATGCTTGGGCGCAGGAGGAGGGCTGCGGTCGCCAGGGACGTAGTCGAAGATGGCGCGCATCTTGTCCAGGACACCGTTGCGCTCTGCCAGATGGCGGCCCTCCTCCAGCGGTATCCATGTGCCCTGGTATTTGCCATAGCCGCCCTGGACCTTTTCATGCACGCCCTTCTGGACTTCGCGCTCGAGGATGCGGGTTCGCGCAGGCTTGTCGTAGTCGGCTACCTTGAGGATGTGGGTCGCGTTGATCCAGTCGTCGGCGCGGCGGCGCATGACATGGTTGCCGTTGACATTGCACTCGTAGACGGGGACCTGCAGGCGGGCTTTGTCAGTGCATCGTCGCAAAGCTGAGGTGTCGCAAGCAGCGGGGAGTGCGCACATTACTGTATGTTGCCGAGTAAATCTTGCCATCGGGCGCGGGGGGCATCTTCACCATTCGATTAGCTGTAGAAGGTGTCTCGGGGCGTGTCAAGTGATTTCGTGAAGGCGTGTCTGCGGTTCGCGTCAGACCTGGGGGAAGGCGCGTTGGAGTCCGCGTTCGCGACTGCCCTGCCAAGCGTCGGGGTCATCAGCTGCCTTTGCCGACACCAAGTGAACCTCACCAAGCTCGCCCGCCGACGACCCTCCGCCCACCAGCCCCCCGCGCGCCATTGACGATAAACAACACCCCGGGCCGCCAGTATGACTGTCACAGATACCATCAAGCATGCCGTCGGCCTTGACGGCGAGCCGAGGAGTACGCCGGCCTACGCATCCTACGCATTCAAGTAATAGAGACTGACGGGACCGCAGAGGCTACCCGCGAGGAAATGAGCGCCGCCAAACTACCGCTCCCCTACCGAGACTCATGCGCACATCTTCTTATCCCCTTGAACCGGTGTCGGTACGAGGAGTACTACCTACCATGGAAGTGCGAGGTACGCGAGAATGGATGAAGAAGGGCCAGAGCGGGCGGCTGACAGGAATTCTAGAACGAGAGGCATTCGTACGAAAAGTGCCAGTACGACGAGTTCAAGGAGCGGGTCAAGAAGATGGACGAACTGAGGGCAGCCAAGAACGGACAGCGAAGCAACTAGAGTCAGAATGCGGGTATGATCCAGGACGGTCACAGGCGGAGCATGCTGCATGTATATATCAAAGCAGCAAGAATCACGAAGACATCAAATCTATGTTTCGGGCCCAATTGGTATTCTGGACGAAAGGCGTTGGAGCAAGAAAATCAGCTCTGATTTGGATCTCGTATTCGACCAGACGATGGTTTATTTGGTACACTGAATCGCTGTCTTACAAAGAGTCTAACTCTATAAACGCCTCCATCAAATCTACAACCTCGCCTTGGTATCTTCCAGCGCAGCCTTCTCCCTCAACTCCTTCCTCAAAATCTTGCCAGAAGGATTCTTCGGAATCGCGTCAATGAAATGCACACCACCTTCCAAGCGCTTATGTCTAGAAACGCGCTCAGCCAGCCACTTCTTAATATTCTCCGCAGTCTCTGGAGTCGCCTTGTCGGGCGACTGAGGCATAATGTACGCGCGAGGCAATTCATCGCCATTACTGACAAGGGTTAGCAGTTGATACAGACAGCAGAGAATGCGGGCGAACTTACGCTTTAACGCCAATAACAGCAGCGTCCTGCACATCTGGGTGGTCCAGCAGCAGCGCTTCCAACTCCGCCGGTGCAACCTGAAGACCCTTGACCTTGATCAATTCCTTCTTCCTATCAACTATAAAGAAGTGGTTCTGTTCATCCACGTAAGCCACGTCTCCCGTTTTCAACCACCCATCTTCCGTCAGAGTCTCTTTGGTCGCGTCGGGCTTGTTCCAGTACCCCTTCATGATGTTAGGTCCGCGAACCCAGATCTCGCCTCTCTCGCCTTGCGGCGCTTCGACCTTGCCGTCATCATCTACAACGATCTTTGCTTCGCAGTTTGCTAGGACTTCGCCGACAGAGAAGCTGGACGAGTAGGCAGATGGGGGGAATGTGGTTGCTGCGCAGGTGACTTCCGTCATGCCGTAGCCTTGCTTGACGTTGACTTGGCCATTTGGCCATAGGCGCTCGAATTCCTCGATGACTTCCCGACCGAGTGGGGCAGCACCGGAAGAGACGCCCGTTACAGAGCTCAAATCGAATTTCTTCGTCGCAGGGTGCTTTGCCATGGCCACGATGACCGGAGGTACCAGAACCATGTCCGTAATGCGGTACTTTGATACGTTCTGGAGCATCTCGACAAAGTCGAACTTGGGCATCATGTAAACCGGTACGCGTTGTTTTACCGCACCGAAACAGAAGATCGCTTGCGCCATAGCGTGATACATGGGCAGGAAGCAAAGGTACTTCTTCGTCTTCAGCTTCTCATGATAGTCGGGGCTTGTGGTCTGGATGTGGATCTGTTGGCTGCAGTTTGCGACATAGTTCCTGTGCGTTATCATGACGCCCTTTGCGACACCAGTCGTTCCCGAGGAGTAGTTCAGCGCAACTATGCGATCGAGCTCTTCTGGGGTCTTCAAGTCGGGCCATGAGTATGCGTCGCCGCGCTCTGGCGTGTCGAGGAGTTCAGTCCAGTGGCGTACATTTCCGAGTTCCGTCTTCTTCTCCACTTTACGACCCTCGAACGTGGCAACACCATCGTCGAAGACAAAGATGCGCTCAGGACCCATGCCAATCTCTTTTGCAGCTGCGATTCCTGTGTCCAAACTACCCTCTGCGCAGATCATGAAGCGCGCTCCGCTGTCTTTCAATTGGTACGCTAGCTCTCGGGCAATGTAGGTAGGGTTTGCGCCGGTAAAGACACCCTCTGCCATGACGATACCCATCACTACTGCTGGGAAGAAGAGCGTATTTCCCGAGTAGAGCAACACGCGGTCTCCCGGTTGGAGGCCTGCGCGCCGCAGACCTGAAGCGAAGCGTTTCGCATAGAGACGGAGATCGTGTAAGGAGATGTTGTACTTTTCAGGTTCGCTTGCCGAAAGATAAAACGGTTCTTTCGGTAGTTCCACAGTAGGCGAGTCGAAAATGTACGTTGGTAGTGAGACCTGGGGTATAGGGAACGAATAGCGGGATTTGATCACCATGGTTGCGGTTCAATGTGCTGGCTGAGGAAACGTCGCAGAGATGTCAAGGAGGAGAATCAACTTGTAATGACGGGGTCCACTCTTATCACTCTTGGTTCTTGGCCCACTATTGGTATCCACGATGCGCTCCGTGCCGTAGCCCTTGTTGATGGCTTGCAGAGTCAGACGCCCGGCGATATAGACGTCAGCGAAATCCTACTCGGCATCCATCAGCGACCACTCAATCAAGGAAACGTACACACAGGAATAGTAACTTACGTTCTACCGACTCCTTCTTCTGCTTAGTGATCCAAATGTCTGAAATATAACAACGACACCTTTCGAGATGGGAAGTCGCGATACATGCATGGTGTAACCCAGCGCACCCATCCACCGGTTCTACTCTACCCCGAGGCATCTCTGCTGACGCCGCTGCATAAACGGGGCAACTAGTCCAAGACAGCACGTCGGGTAGCTCGATTGCGTTAGAAGTGGACTCGGACGGGGGACGGAAGTGAAAGTGGTGAGGTGCGATAAGCGGGGGATTGCTAGTTGTGCCGAGGTAGAAGTCTGGGGTAAGGACGGGGGTTAGCGAGCGGACGCCTGGGCATGCGAGTTGGGATGGTTATTCGTCCGTTATTCTAATCATTGCTTATTCAAAAATCTCCTATTTTTATCCATGTCGTCTTTTATGCTTAGGTACGAAATTCGAGTGAGAAAGTCATGTTTAGAGTCACATCTCAAATCAAAAATTAGTGCGCCATGTCAATGGACCATCTCAAGTCATATCGATCGACATCGCAATCTTCTTCTCAACTCCAGCAAAACCCATGACAGGGTAGGAATCGTGTTTTTGGACAGACATCCATGTGAGGATCGTCATTTTTGGTCAGACCATGTCTGAGTGATGAGGAAAGAAGAAGTTGGGGGGATTGGAGAGGTACTTATACATCTGAGATGGCGCTAGAGGGGGAATACATGGGACGAAGTATTCATCAACGTGACATCCAACATGCGCTGTCGGCGTGAACGTCGTTCGTCAATGACGCCATCACCTTTCTTAAAACACCATGTCGTCCCGACGAGGCAGCGCGAAGGTCAGGCGCCACGAACCTCAAACGATCGAAGCAAACAAATCAATTGATACCCCTCTACTCGAACGCACAAACAGCGTTTGTAGCCTGCAAACCAACCCATCACCCGTCATTCTGACGTCCAAGCGTACTCGAAGCACATCAACCCTGTGCTTTCCAACGCCAAAATATGGCCATACTACCCACGACGTCATATCCATCAACATCCCTCACAACCCCAATGTCAACTCCAGAAAGCAGTTTGATCCGTCGCGCCCGGTTTCCATACATTTCCGCCGAGGCCACATTACGTAGCTCAAGGACGATGACTCGATCTCGCCGAAGTCTCTCGCGGGTTTGGAGGAACCGCTGCTGAGCGCTTTGGTTTTGTCGGCCGACATTATTCAATACGTGGGCTGCGAATAAGTCGTCTGATGATGTATGTGAAAACGTTGGTGAACTTGCAGCAGACGGTGCTGACTGCGTCTCTCTGCGCCAGTCTTCAACCATCAATGTCGTGTCCGGGCTTGGTAGTGGGAGACTCTGGGTTGACCACCGCCGTGGTGTAACCCTCGGAGGACTTCGAGATTGTTCCATCGGACGATAATCCCGAGATGTAGGCGTCCACGGCGCTGCAAGAGATCCACCGAAAATCTCGTTCATGGATCCTCTCAACGGCTGCGTGGTTGGTCGTTCATGTTCCTCTTCATCTCCTTCATCCTCCTCCTCCTCCTCATCCTCCTCATCCTCATCCTCCTCATCCTCGTCCATTACCGAAACACGGTCCTCGGGCTCGCGTTCATCATCCGAACACTGGAACTGTTCGTCGAACATATCCTGCATGACCTCCAGCGCACCCATGAAGATACGACCGGACCAAGTCTCCAACAGATTAGCATGTCTAAGTTGGTCCTCCACACGCCGAGCAACCTCAAGTTCCAACCATGCGGATTCAGCCGCAGCGTGCATCTCACATATCATAACCCATTGAAGCCCCGCCTGGATCCGCGATGCGCATACACGTTTTGGAATCCCGACATAGCATTCCGCACCAGTTCCATGGAGTCTGCGTTGCTCGTCGAAAAGGTTGTCGGTGATCGTCAATAGCTCGGTATAGCGCTTGGTGTCAAAAGAGGCATCACGATCGTAGTACGTCTCCTTTTCTTTCCGCGCTAGCGCTTCCCTTGCTGGTGGTAGCAGGTTTAGCTCGAAGAGCTCTTGTCGACAGCTCGGGCACTTGTTGCGGTTCTCGGTGTAACCTTCTGTCATGTTTCGTAGACAGTGGAAGTGCAGTGTGTGTTGACAGGGAAGTTGAGCGAGGCGGGTACTCGGATCTTGGGAGTGTACTTGCAGGAGCTCCAGACAGATGGCGCAGTTTGAATCGCCGGTGGCCCCGAAGTCTCGGGCTTGTTGATGGATTCGCTCGTCGAGGAAGTGCTCGAGGCTGGGGAGGTTGTTGGACGCCATGTCAGCGGAGGGTGGGCGAGCTGGTTGAGTGCGGAGTGCGAACGTGGTCTTGGTACGTATTATAGCGGTGGGTGATTCCACTTCTGGTACTTTATATATGGCCATGTGATTGCCTTCATAGTGAATGGCTATAGGTAGCAGTATATGTGGGGTATATAGTTGTGGCGATGCGCGAAGTGAAATACCCTACCCGCAACATGTACTGAGCATCGCTTTCCCTGTGGGAAAGACCTGATGAACCCCAAGGAATCTGTATATAATCTTCCATTCGTTTGCCCCCAACTGTCAAGCAAGCAACACCCCTAACTCAACTCAACCATGTCGATGCAAACTTCCGCTTCAGTTCCTAACCAGCAAGATGGTGTCGTGCCAGACTTGCCCGCAATGGGGCAATTCATAGCTACCATGGATGGGTCCGTTCAGTACTCCGAGCAGCTTCCCGAATCCTGCAGTATATGTTGGGAAGACTTCAACTGGGACAATGGGGTTGCAGTGCGCCTTCCATGCGGCCACATCTTCCACAATGAATGTTGTCTCCACTGGATGAATTCAGCCAGTGAGAACCGCAACGCCTGTCCCATGTGCCGGACGGTCTTCTGTCTCCTTAATGCTCTGGCACCCGAACAAATACGCGATAACGAAGAAGAGCACAACGAGGGTGTATACAACCGCGAGGCTTTCTACTGGCTTATGGCTTACGCTGACTCATGGTACGATGCAGAAATCCGGAATGATGACCTGGATTTTGTGTACATTGTATGCGAAGTGAGGAGGCATTGGCATCGTGAACATCATCCCCAAGCGCACGAGTTCATATGCGACTGGCATGAAGAGATCGGGGACAACTGGCTTGAGCTTATCGTAGCGAATCATATCCGGAACAGGCTCAGCGAGGACGGTCTTGCTGACTCTAGGGAAAGCCAAGAGCTTGAGACGAGACGCAGTGGGCTAGTGAACTGTGTGAACTGGATGATTAGGGGTTCCAACTTCATTGGCGAGGTCTGGGTCCCGCAGAATATGCAAGAATTCGAAGCGAGGGCCGCGGAGAATGCAGGGGACAATGAGGATCACCAGCAAGAGCAACACGACGACGACCGTCAGCCTGACGAAGATTCAGAGACTCACGAGCGATGGGCATCTGGCCATTCCCAAGAAGACGAGGAAGGTTTAGAGGAAGGCGAAATTCTCGAGGACGCAACCAGGCAAGAGCCCCCCGAACTTCCCCATTCCGAAAACTTCGAACTTTCCGACCCTGAACCAAGTCCAATGAACAGCGGTACAATCGAGCAGGCAATCATAGCACGCAACGATGCTATCCATCAACGTTTCCGGGAAGAACTAAACGCAGAGATTGTCGTAGGAGCCTTGCACGAATTACACGATTTCAGGAGCGCTGAAATACTACCCTATGAAGAAGTACAGCGCCGTCATTCGCGCTCCCAATCTCCATCTCCGTCTTCTCCATCCCCACCCTCACCATCTCCATCAACAGACTCCCTCTTTTCCCTCCCCCCGGCCACACAACTAGCCGACCTACCTCCCCCACACCCCACAGTCTCGCAACAAGACGTGGCCGACACGTGCTCCTGGCTTCGAGCAGAGGGCCACACCATCCTGTGCGAGATGCACAACGTAGCCTCGGTTGTGTATCAAGACGATGGTACTTATGACGTGCATGGTTTTGAAGGAGATTTTTTGGGAGTTGTGAGGGATGCGGATGCGTATCATGTCGTGGGGTGGATTGCGATTTTCTATCGTTATGGAGAGAATGGTGGAGATGTTGGTGGCTCCAGGGGACGGGTGCTGCGTCCTGTCTAGTCAAACTTCCTGTGTTAAATTTGGAGCGGTTTCAAATGTAAGATTCGGTGAACGTTACTACTCTCGCGTAGCAATGTATCCAGGGATTTTTTTGCTTGAAAACGACGTGGGAGCATGTAATTGAGTATCTTTTGACGTTCCTGTCTTCCAGTGTCGTCCAATTGGTGAAATAATACGCCAGCCGTGGGTATGCCCCTTCTGAAGTGTGACCGACTTGTGATATCCCCAAACGCCAACGCTATGCATAACAAAAATGCGTGAAAGACGTACCTCCTATGACATCTTACAGGAGCCCAACTATGCCTTGTCCTCGCCCTCATCATCACTACTTTCCCTCTCTTCCCAGCCCACCATCCGTCTCAACACGCGATTCTCTTCTCCTAACTCTTTACATCTGCCCCTCAACCCCTGTTCAACCTCACTTTGGCATCGTAGCGCACTCCTTGCGTTCTCGGCGACGCGACTCAACCCGGCCTGCCAGTCTGCGTGTTCAAGCCGCAGCGCCATAGATGTCGAGCGTTCTTGGTCAAGAAGCCCTTGGTAGTGTTTGTGCAGAGCGAGCATGGCCGAGGTTTGCGAATAAGCGTACGGACGAAGTTTATCGAGGAGAAGGGTCAAAGCGGATTCGTAGTCGGTGAGGAGGGCGGAGAGAGACGTATTCGTTGAGGTTAGGGATGCGATGGTTGTTTGTGCGCTCGAGAGCTGTGATTGTAGATGTGCTACTGTCGCTGCTGTAATGGGTGTCAGTGTATGTTCATCCGAGTCCAGACGGTTATCGCCGTCCAAACCCTCTCAATACAGACTCCACATACCATTGATCTCTCCATTAACCTCCCTCATGCCCATTCCACTTGCACTTCTCGGATTGAGCCCACCGACCTCACCTCCCTCTTCTTGTGCAGCCCTCCCTTGTATCGCAGCGACACCCTCCACGATACCCCTCGTTTGCGCCTTGTTCTCCTCTAGCAATTGGCTCAGCTGCTGCACCACCGCCCACAGATGGTTCATGTCCGTCTGCTGGCCGCCGCTGGGTAGGCCATTAACCATTGGAACGCCGTTTTGGCCGCCGCCGTTAACTTGCGATCCTGCAATACTGCCGGCTTGTGAATGTGAGGGAGAGGGCGGAGGGCGATTTTGATTGTGCTGTTGCTGGGCTTGTTGTTGTTGGGAGGACTCGAGGAAAGAGAAGTTGTTCATGTCGACAATAGTGTGGGTGGGTGGTGGAGATTAGGTAGCTGCGGATATTGGTGGAGTTGGCGTGCGGCGCGGGCTTGATGGCTTCGGTAGTCGGGCTTGTGATTGGATTGGAAGTCTGATGGTGGGATCGTAGGCGCCTACCAAGATCTTCTCAGTGACGCGACACTAGATCGGGGTATAGAATGCTTTTCTACGTCTTGTGCGGGGTCAGGTTGGTTCGCGTTGCGGAGTCTTGAGGCTTGTTGGCGATGCGCTCTGGGACGTGTCCAGATGGCGCTTGCTTGCTTTGGTGCTAGTGGCTTGGCCATACTCTATGGCTTGACTAGACCGCGAACCATTGCAGATGGGTGTGCCTTTTTAGTGATAAGGTATCGATAGTACTAGGTAAAGAAAGCGTGACTATAGTATGCGAGAGTAAAAAGCAAAAATACACCATAAGAGGTATCCGCAGCCAACCCATGCCAAAGAACAACCTCCCTCAATGGTATCCAACACTCCACAATGAGACTCGATGCGAGCCTGCTATGACCGGAAGTCCATCCCTCCCTGGGGAGCCGAAGTGCTAATCGCTCATCTATCAGGCAGCACATACCTCCTTTCTACACTCATCTCACGATCTGCCTCATCTTCACCTTCGAACCTCAACCTGACGAGATTGTCTACGCCATCGCCTTCTTTGCCACCATCTTCTTTCTTGACCTTGCCATCACTCTGCTTCCAGACAGCCACCACTTCCGCTTTGTAGAAAGTGGTGGTGCCTGGGTAGAGAGCAAGTACGTTCTTTCCTTTGCTTAGGTCTGGTAATGTGGTGTTTGATGAGGGTGGTGGGATGGGTATCAGGTGATTGACGGAAGCACGGTATGGTACTGATGGTGTCGGTGGGTCCGGATCAGCATCGATGATCTCGTACCGACGTTGCTTTCCTTCGCCGATTACGGATGTCACGCGGCATAAGATGCCCTCGCCCTCGAACGACATGGAGGACGCCGAAGAGCGATTCTTCGCGTTGTTTCGGTAGAGGACCTCTGTCTGCGGCGAAAGACGTGGTCGGATTTCTATAATAATATCGTCAGTTGACGTGGTGTCTGAAGGGACTTGGGATGATGTGTAAAAAGGGCGCTGTGATAGAAGAGATGGTACATGGTGGCATGAGCACATAAAAAGAAGTATGAGATCAGATGAGGTGAGATTATGAGCTTGCCTATCCGACTACAAACCTCGAACAAGCCGAAAGGAAAAATGCCAGTGGGTATCGTCTGCCGTCTAAGGTGAACGCCGATAGCAAAGTACAGCTCAACGCTTGGTCTTGTACTTGATTGTGGGCTTGGTTTTGGAAGGAGGAAGAACCATCTTACCCTTACCCGAGTCGTCTTCGTCCATCTTCACACTGCCCTCTCTCGCAACAGGTACCGATCCTGCTCTGCTACTGCCTGACTTGGCTACCAGTCGATCTTTCTGACTGCTGATAACGACCTTCGGACTGGGACCTCCAGGACTGTCCGCAGCCATGCTGTCGCGGTCGTCGATGTTGTCGTTATGCTTTCGCTTGCCTTGGCGATCGCGTCCAGACTTTCCGTGCCCAACGCTGGTGGCTCGTGATGCTGAGGGCGGGGCCTCTTCCGACTGACGGAGGGCAGCCAGGAGTTCTATCTGAGTGGAGACATCGTTGCCGCCTTCGACCTGCTGGAGAAGGGTCTGTGCCTCGTTTAGATTACGTATGTTTTCGCGCAGAAGGTCTTCAAGCTCGTCATCAATACGGGCTGAGGTTTCCTCGCCGCGGTCTAGCCGGGTTAGCACAGTGGGACGAATATGTAGTAGTCAGTTGGGCAACGAACGCTGACGAGCAGACTGTTCTGCGACGAGGGCGGTGATTTTCTCTTGCAAGGCATCCGACTCTTTCTGCGGCATGTCAGCAAGGAAGCGGATCTATGTGTAGATGATTTAAGTAATGCATGCGACAAGGCACGGTCTGTGTAATACCATGCATTTGTCGGCGCGTCTGGCATCTGTCTTGATCTGTTTCCAGAGATCCCGCTCCTCCTCTGGATCTCTTCCATATTTATTTCGGTTATGGCCCAAGTAGCCTTCAGAATCGCGAAGATTACGCGGTACTTCGCTCATGGTGAGGAATGCTGGCGATAGATATAGAGTTGCAGTTTGTAATGCTGGTGTTAATGAAGAAATTATATTCGTACCATGAGTTGATCAACGCGACGTCCGTCAGCTTTGATCGAGTTCCAGAGGGCTCTTTCCTCGTCGAACTCCTCCTTCAACTGACCACGGGGCCTGCTGCGGGCTGCCATGTTGAGGAAGTTGTGGCCCGTCAACTCCCCAGCTCTTTTCGTGTTACCTAAGGCGCTGCAGGTAGTTCATGTGGTGGTGTGGAAGCGACAGACTGAGGTGGAGGAAGAGAAGTAGCTGCAGATGATCAACGTCGGGGCATGTAGTCGGCGGGATGCAGGGTAGGGTACGCTAGTCATGGGAGAGGGGATGAGCCTAAACCAACGGCAGGGTGACGATTGTGCGGGACCAAACAAGTGGACCCCGCCCAGAGCTCCTCCGCCAATTCGCGGCATCGCAATACATACGCAACCTCCACACTCGACCGAAACCATATTCAAGATGCGGAACCCTCTTATCAGACTAGAATGCGGTAGGTCGAGATAGTGAAATTGATTTGAGCCAGCATTGGCTAACTAAATCCAGGTGTTAACAGCTACGACTGGGGTGCGTGCCCCGCGTCATCACTCACCTTCGCCCCAGCAGTATGCTGAACCAACCCAGGCAAAGTCGGCAAAGAGTCTGCAGCCGCCAAGTTCCACGCTGCAAACGCTTCAGACTTCTCGATTGAAGAGGAGAAGCCATATGCCGAGGTATGAAATTCCAGCTTGCGATTGACGCGTCGTTGACACGGTTAGCTATGGATGGGCACACACCCGTCGCTCCCCTCCAAAGACAAGGAAACCCAGCGAACGCTTCTCGACCTCTTCGAAGAGAATCAAGCCTTGCTATCAACAGATATCGCCGAGCGCTATGAGAACAAGCTCCCATTCCTGTTCAAGGTCCTGTCGATCAATAAGGCCCTGAGCATCCAGGCACACCCGAACAAGAAGCTTGCCGAACAGCTGCATGCAAGCGACCCCAAGAACTACCCAGGTCAGCATAATTACGGAAATTTCCAACAGAAATACTCACCTCACTAGATGACAACCACAAGCCCGAAATGACCATTGCAGTCACTCCCTTCGACGGCCTCTGCGGCTTCCGACCCCTTGCCGAGATCGCACACTTCCTGAAGACCGTCCCTTCATTGCGCAAACTCGTCGGCGAAGAAGAGGCGAAGAAGTTTGAGGACACCATCAGTGGCAAGGAGACATCGGACAAGGAAGAGGACATGCAGGAAAACAAAAAAGCTCTGCAATCTGCCTTTACAAAGCTCATGAACACGGACAAGGACGCGCTATCATCTGCCAGTGAAGAGCTTGTCAAGGCAGCGGAATCTGAGGGCGACAAGTTCGCGGACGGCGGCCCACCCTCCAACGACGGCAAAGAGCTCGCAGACCTCGTCATCCGCCTCAACTCTCAATTCCCTGGTGACATCGGTCTCTTCGTCCAGTTCTTCCTCAACTACGTCAAGCTCGACATTGGCGAAGCCATGTTCCTCAAGGCAGACGACATCCATGCCTACCTTTCTGGCGACATCATTGAGTGTATGGCGAGCTCCGACAACGTTGTCCGCGCAGGCTTCACCCCAAAGTTCAAGGACGTGGACAACCTGACAAAGATGTTGACATACAGCTATGCGCCGATCAGCGAGCAAAAGATGGAGCCTAGAGACTACTCACAGGTCAGACTGAACGCACCAGCGTATAGCTCCAACAGCAGCAACAAGCTGTACAACCCACCGATCCCCGAATTCGCCGTAGTAAGGACTGCGCTTAACCGGGTAGGTGGAAAGGCGACATTTGATCCGATCGATGGACCAAGCATCATCCTGTGCACCAAGGGCAAGGGAACGATTAGCGTGGGACCAAAAGAGGAGGAGATCAAGGAGGGCTACGTCTACTTCGTTGGTGCCACTGCTGAGGTCGTCATCAAGAGCGATGTTGATGCCGAGGACGAGGAGGGCGCAGAGGGCCTGGTAACATTCAAGGCATTCTGCGAGCTCGAAGACGGCAAAGGCAAGCTATGAGACATGAGATATGAACAAAAGGGTACGACAACGACTTGATGATATGACGACAAGAGAAACGTCTTCTTGCTATATTGTATTTGGCTACATAATACATCTATCATCTATGAGTGGTATCACAATGCTATGAGTCGCTAAGTCTAGAACAACAAGGGGAGTGAAGTGTCGCCTTACTCCGGCAAACTCCTCATGACACCCTCAAACGCTACCAATGCCATGGCATTCGCCGGGAACGCCCTGAGGAAGCAAGGCACAAAACCCCGCCAGTACCCTTTCCAGCCTTGCTCCCTGTACACCGCTTTCGCGGCATCTCTCCACCTCGGAAACTTTCTTTGTGCCAGCGGATCCGTCATGATACGCTGCTTAATCACATCACTCGGATAGCTCGTCAACCAAAAAACCTGCGCCGACAAACCTCCCGCCCAGAAATTGACAGCGGGAGCAGACAGCGATGTCCGCTGTTGCAGCTGCCGCGTAAAAAGGTCATACGTTCCCCACCAGAAGCAGAAGAATGTGCGGAAGAGCAGTGTAGCACTGAGACCGTGATACACTCCCCTCATTCCATGACCAGTGTATATCTTCTTGAGGCAGTCGATTGGTCCGGAGTAAAGGCGTGACTTCTTATCCGCAGCGTATTGTACTTGCAGACGTGCCTTGATGTGTTCGACGGGCGCGGCGATGAAGGACACCGTCCATCCTGCCATTGTGCCTGCTAACGCGTGGCCGTATACGGGCAGTTTACGCTGCTGTTCGCCGAATTGGAGGTGTGAGGGGGGGTTGAAGACGCGGTCGTTGAGGACGCGGCGGTAGACGCTTAGGGAGCCTAGCATTCTTTGTGGTGTTAGTACGTACGACCATCGTAGCATGTATCTCGGAGTGCGTAGATCCACATACATCGAGTCCATAAACATCCATCCTACAAGCGGTGGGGTAGCGCCCTTATACAGCCCCGCGAAGCCTTCTTTGCGGAGTGTCTGCATCAGACAATCTACCGGGCCGCGGAAATGGCTTTTCTCCGTCGTTTGGAGGCGGACTTTCACCGTGTCGAAGGGGTGACCAACTATCTTGGTTAGCCATTTTCAATGCATGTGCTGGGTGAATGATTATTTACCAGATAACTTCGCAATTCCGCTGAACACCCCAGCGACAAAGCCGCGGTAGTGCTTGGGAGACTTCTTCGGCTCATCAGAGGTAGCTATCAGCGCGGTGGCCGCCGGCTGTGAGTCGCTGGTTTTCAGGTTTAGGGCTGAGGTAGCCATTGTCGCGTCGCTGTTCTCCGGTACAATATCGGAATCATGCCTCCCGTCCAAGAAAAAGCACAAAAGGCACCCAACACGTCAAAAAGATCACGAAGAAGCGAAGGTAGGTAGGGAGAAGCAGGGCCGTCGAACGACTCAAGCCATTATTCTCGGTGGAATTGTCAGCAGTGGTCAGTACAGTAGGCAACTTGCAGGTTCCGCATATCGGAAACGTACAAGCGCCCGCGATGTGGTGACGATGTCGACAGGGCCGAGAGATCGGTGTTCGGACGCCCGAAAGTCGCGTTTTAGTGCCTTCCAAGGTTGTCTCTCCAGGGCTGGACCCTTGAGATTGGCTTGCCAGATTGGTACGATGGTTCCTTCATAGACTTAGCGGCTGCCCCTCCATATGCACTTGCGATCGTGTGCGACCGAGGATGGCGCGGTTTGATCTTTCTGTTGCTAAGCTACTGACGTTGTCTTCACTAACCACTCTGTATACCCTGCGACAACTTTGTTGGCGCGCGCGCATTCGATATACGTGTTCTAGGTAACTATGTCGGCGACTACGAGTGCGACGACGGCGCCCGCTGCGGGTGTAGAGTCGAAGAAAGGTATGTTGGATGTTTGACGGGGCGCGTTTGGAAGAGCTATACTGACATCGGCGCAGTATGGACGACCCTCATTACCAACACGGCATACCTCACCGGTCTCCTTACCCTCGACTACTCGCTCAAGAAGCACGGCACTAAGTACCCGCTCATCGCTTTGTACACGGATACCTTCCCCGAAGAAGGCCACAAGGCGCTCGATGAACGCGGCATACCGAAGCAACATGTCAAGTACCTGCTGCCAATCAAGTCCAAGGACTTCACCGCGGACCCGCGCTTCTACGATTGCTGGAGCAAGCTAACGCCGTTCTCGCTGGAGGAGTATGACAGGGTGGTACAGCTAGACAGCGACATGTTGGTCTTGCAGAACATGGACGAGCTCATGGACTTGGAGCTGGACGCACCGAGTACAGGCGGCAAGGGTAACAGAGTGTTTGCAGCGAGCCACGCATGCGTGTGCAATCCGCTCAAGAAGCCGCACTACCCCAAGGACTGGTATGTCTCTTCCCTTATACATACATATGATACATAGACTAACAAAACTCCAGGATACCAGAGAACTGCGCCTTCACAACCCAACACGCCGACCCCACCACCGCCCAACACACAGGCGCCCCCTCAACCGCCGGCCTCCGCATGCCCAACGGCGGCCTCCAAGTCGTAAACCCCTCGCTCGCGACCTACAACCTGATCCTTGAGCAGCTCTCCAACGAGGCATCCGGCGACTACGACTTCGCTGACCAATCGCTGCTGGGCGATCTGTTCAACGGCCGCTGGGTTACGCTGCCGTATACCTACAATGCGCTCAAGACGCTGAGGAATAAGGGTGTGCACGATGTGATCTGGAGGGACGAGAATGTTAAGAATATACACTATATTCTTAGTCCAAAGCCTTGGGAAGAGGAGGATGGGAAGTCAACGTGGGAAACGCATCAGTGGTGGTGGGATGTTAATAATGAGAGGAGGAAAGAGGAGAAGAGTAGGGGTATTGACGACGGATTCTAAGCTCTCACGATGTAGTGGGGTCGTTGCATAGTGGTCGGCGTAGAGGTGTAGAGTAGTACGAGAAACTTGGGCGAGCATCTTACGAGAAGCCCTGGAGGCGTTGCATAGTGGTGGGGTAGGGAGAATAATGCCCTGCATAAAAAGTATTTGGCAGCCATGGAGGAAGAATACATTCCATCCAATGAAGACTGCGTTGCTATTATTGAACAGCTCACGTTTTGCGTACGAACACCTTCCTTTTCGGTAGCACGGCTTTCTACACGATGTTTTTCAAGTTTCCTTTAGGCTTGGCGCCAGGGTTCCTCCCCGATTCAGTAATCCCTCAAGCTCGGTAGTTATGCTTCTTTCAACACATGGTCCGCACGGTGTACCACGTCATGGTGGACGGTACTAACCCTGCATGGCCAGTGTACAGGCCTTGTGAAGAACTATTCGTAACGCGGACCAACATTTGACTATAGCAGTCATGCTCGGGCAGTTGGAGGGACGATTCGAGCAACCAGTCGCAGAAAACTTCTTGCATCGGCTTATTTCGCCCGAGATATCAGGCCTCGACGATATTTGAGCCGGCTATAGCAGAGACTAAATCCCGAAGGAGGGCTAGCCAAACGGGAAGATCGGAATACGTCACGGTAACGCCGTGTGTACAGGCAAGATGCAGTGAGTGAACTGCTGCCAGTTCCCACGCGAACGGCGCAGACCCCACGGCTTCATCAATCTCAGGAGTAGCGCCGCGTACCTGCGTTTGCCGGCATTCGGTGAATCGAACGGCGGCGGCAAAGTCACACGGCAGGAAAGGCTGCTGGAAACTATATGGCTAGCTGCAGCTATCGTGCAGCCAACGCGCATGCAGATGCAGCGAGTAACGCATGCGGAGACCCTTTGCTTCATCTTAGCCAAGATTCGCAATCAAAGGGCGTCGTCGAGCTGTGAGCCCCTTTTCGCCGACTGAGGCAAAAGCAGGAGAGGCGGTGATGGAGGTGTGTGGTTGGCGTGTAGGATGAACCCGTCACGATCAAGCCGTTGGGCGGAGCACAGACGTTTGGCAGCTGCGATCTGCAACGCGCCTGCTGCGGTTTCACTCCTGAGCAGCGTGAAACCTCATTTCATGAACAGCGCCAGCGCCCACGCGAGACCCTGTCCCGAGTCGCTACACATTTGCATCTCCTGTGCCGTCTACATCTTGACGTCTTCTCCCACACACGACCACCATTGAATCTCACTCCGACGCCTTATCACGCCCGACCGCCTGCCGTCTACCGTCCTCCGTCGCGCGCACTAGCTATAGCTCGCTTTCGCCGATATACCGCCCACTCAACACCACCACCAAGTCCATAACGCGTAAATCAGCACCATGGGGGGTTCAATATCCAAGATGATGGCCAAGGTCTTCGGCTCCAAGGAGATGCGCCTGCTGATGCTGGGCCTCGACGCTGCCGGAAAGACCAGTACGCACCACCATCACACCACATACACTGTCGCTAACTCCCCCAGCCATCCTCTACAAGCTCAAGCTCGACCAGGACGTCACCACCATCCCCACCGTCGGCTTCAACGTCGAGACCGTCACATACAAGAACACCAAATTCAACGTCTGGGACGTCGGCGGCCAGGACAAGATCCGTCCGCTCTGGAGACACTACTTCTCTGGTATGTTGGGCCGCGGAGGCACGGTTCCGGGTAGGCGAGTCGACATGCACGCGACTGCATGCGCATGGCTTCCACCTCACCCGGCTCCTGCTGATATCTCCCATTGAACAACATGACTAATCGCAATCGCAGGCACCCAAGGTCTCATCTTCGTCATCGACTCCAACGACCGCACCCGTATCGACGAGGCCAAGCAGGAACTCACAAGGATTATCCAGGACCGAGAAATGAAGGATGCGCTGTTGCTGGTGTTTGCGAACAAGCAGGATCTCAGCGGAGGTGCGTACATGCCAGAAGTCGTATGTGAGGGATATTGGGCTGACACGATATAGCTATGCGACCAAAGGAAGTCTCGGACCGTCTGCAATTAGACAAGATCGCCAAAGACCACGTATGGAAGGTGGAGCCCAGCTGCGCGACAACAGGAGAGGGTATCTTTGAGGGATTGGTACGTTTCTACTCTCATAATTCTACTTGCGCATTCACTCTACTAACACCTGCTTTAGGCCTGGCTCTCCAACAACGTCAAGCTACCACCCGGCGCCAAATAAACGTCTTCCCACCCACCGCGATCCGCGCATCCCCGTCCCTCTCTCACACACTGTCCGCGATACCTGAACGACTTGCATGCTCTTCCCTGCATATACCCGGTTTTGTCCTCTTTACTTAATGTCGCACTTACTCTTATCGTCTTGTAATCTTCTTAATTGGGACTTGTACATTAGATATGTACAAATCTTTTTTTGTCTTGTGTGTAGATCTTTTTCCTGTTGTGGTCCGAAGATGGGTGCCTGGCTGGGCTGACTGGTTGGTTGGCTGGTTGGCCGGGCTGTCTATAAGTAAGCGATACTGATATTACCTCTGTCTGTGTTCTGAAGTGCTGGTGGTGTAGGGTTTGGATGGTGACGTGGAGCATTTTGACGTCTAATACCTAGGTTGGCCGCGATTACCTTTTCTGACGCTCCTTCCGGACCAGTCCTTGCGACTTTCTTTCTCCGCACTCATCGACCACGGATCTCCCGACCTCATGATTCGTTCCCTCTCTGGTATACGCGTTTGACATTTCTCCATCGTGACCATGGCATAGTCGCGATCATCGGTGCTTGCTGCACTCGAACGAGTTCGCACGCATTGGAGTGAACTACACAAGCAAGCTTTGACGGATTGCTCTTTCTGCAGGTGAGTTGCGCTCTCAACAAGCCGAGTGTTCCTGACTGAATGAGAACTGACTGAATTGAAACACAGTGTCATGAGCTTGGGGATCAGCATAGCGGTCCCGATGGCCCTGCAGGAGATCAGCGTGTACGGACGCGCTTTCGACTGTAATCCACTTCAGAAACCACTTTACTGGCATCTAGCTAATTTCGCCGATATCCAAGTTGATTTGCTGACATCCAAGACTGGCTTGTTTGGTTTGGCGTCACAATCAGACAATTCAGAGTGCTTAGGGGCACTCTTTGTCTTCCGAAAACTGCCTCCCAAACACGATTGTGTTGGCTTGTCTTGGGTATTGGCAAGCAATGAGACACTCAGACATGTGTATATGAAGATGCTGGAGGACAGTGTTGAGATGGACACCAGCGAACCCAGCTAATACCTTGTCTGGCTACTTAAGACAAGAACTCAACCTCAAGGCTTCGCAAAACTTCTTCTAATTACCTTTCGTCACAGACGACTTTTGCTTCTTATTCTATCGACCCGACAGCTATGGCTCCCCCTATGATAGCTCCCGCAACGCGGGTGGCGATCGACGCCGCAATCAGCGCCGCAGTGAACGACTCAACAGTGACGACATGTGCAAGGTGTGGCTCGTCAAACCACAATCTTCTCAAGTGTCCTGCGAACAATTCGGTCAGTAGCAAAGGCCCTCTCTGGAAGAATTTCAATACCGGAGCTGCGCTAGGCGCCGATGAGTATCTCAAGAACCACGCCCAGTACCAGTACCAGTACGTTGCTCCTATGCCTGCCATAAGGGGTAACTCAGGTAGAGGTCGTGGTTGGGGGAATCAGCAGCCAGGACGGGGCCGTGGAGGCGGAGGCGGGGCTGAAGGCGGAGGTCGCGGTCGTGGTGACAGTCATGGTCGCGGTGACAGCCATGATCGCGGTGGCAGTCGTGGTCGCGGTGTCAGTCGCGGCGGTGGCCGTGGAGGGTTCAGCAACACCGGAACCAATCAACGTGTGCCTTGGACTGCAGTGGCCAACTACAGCAATGCTACAACCGGTACCGACATGCACTATCCTCTGCCTGAAGATCTCAGTAACAAAGCCCCCGTCGGCGATGGCAAGGCATGGACCTTACCGGGGGATATGACCGACCGAAACAACGTACTCACACTCAAGGAAGACTCGAAATATCCACTTCGGTCGAGCTGGTTTACGAACGCTGACAAGGACGTCATCCTTACCAATCACTTTGAGTACGAGCTTAGTGCCGACAAGTTCTACGAGTACAAAATTCTGGATATGGGGACGAAGAATCGCAAGAAGCTGAAAGTACTCATGCAGAACGCTATCAACAGTTGGCCCTTCCTGAATTCCAACCAAGCATCGTTTGCAACCAACGGGATGGACACGATTGTTTCGTGGATACCATTGCATACCGACTTAAAGGACGGAGAGGCCGTTGATGATCACTCGATCGAGTGGGGTTCTCATAGAATCCCTCTCGGGAACGATTTCGTCTCGACTCGATTCAAGTTCGTCAAGGCGATCGACACCCATGGTCTTCGACGTTATGCTGCTGCCGATCCGAACTACGAACACTACAACTTCAACGACATAGCTACGTGTCTCAACATCGTCATCTCCAAGAGCTTCAGTACAGATGTGCACAAGTTGTCATCGAACAAGTTCTTCGTCAAACGCGCTCGCAGTACACTCAATAACGGGACAACCGAGAACGATTCCAACTCATTGGAAATCATTCGCGGCTACTACTACAACGTCAAGCCTGGTATGGGAAACATCATATTGAACTTCAACATCTCCACCAGCGCCGTCTTTCGACCGATACTTGTGAGCGAGTTCATGGCGGACTCCGAAACGTTCGCGGCTGATAGACGTGCGCACATTCTGGCTGGAAAGACCGTGTACATCCACAAGGACCGCATCGACAGCGATAAAGACAAGGAAGCTAGGCTGAACGACGAGAGTTCTCGGTATTGGAAGGTCTTTGAGCTCCAGAATGATGGTGGAAATATTGACAGCCTAGTCTTCTACAAGAAAGTTTTGGATGACAACGGGAAGCCCCGAACGAACGATAAAGGAGGATACATACTGGAGCAACAGCCTACGAAAGTGGTAGATCATTTGGAACAAGGTGAGACACCATTTCTCATGGTCATACGTTTATATGCTAATCGTCGCAGTGTTCAGCACACAGCCAAGAAAAGATCTTGTAGCGGTCAATGTGGGCTCGAGGCTGCATCCAGTATGGTACGCACAGGAGTTCCTTCGTATCGTACCTTACCAGCCCTATACTCGGCCGGTGCCAGACGCGTACACCTCCTCTATGGTCGACCAGGCATGTCGTGATCCAGCGGTCAGCCGTGCATACATCGAAAAAGAAGGCCTGGCCAGCATTGGGTTCACCACTAATGACAGCGCCGTTGCCTTCGTAAGTACTGCTTTACTTTGATCTAATTTTAACGGCTGACAAGTGCATTTCAGGGAGCGAATATCCCCGTCAAACTGATCCCCACCATGCTCCAGGTTCCACATCATGTCTTGGGTATGCCAGCAGTCAAATACAGTAACGATACCACCACCGGAACAATTCAGGCGAAAAAGCAATCTCACTGGCACTTCCCGCCGAACGCCACACGGTTCCTGTATACGAATCAGAGCAATCTGGGTAGCTTCAAATACGCCATACTGTTGGGTGAAGGCGTTTTCAAGAGTAAGAGACAAACGTTCAAGACACGGATCACCAGTCAGATCGCCAAATGCGGCTTCCAAGTCTCTCAGGCAATGGATGTGTCCAATCCTGGTCTTGACGAGCCTCTCAGAACGATGGAGCTTGGATCAATCAAGGAGAAACTCGAAGAGGCCAAGAAGCTTGGTGCTGACTTGGTCGTACTCGTGCTCCAGAGCTACAACGTTGCCGCATACCGCAACTTCAAGAGTCTTACAGACAGAGATTTGGGGATGCAATCGGTTTGCATGACGCTGAAGCGAGGTCGCGAGGAGGAAATAACAACCAACATTATGATGAAGGTCAACCTCAAGTTCGGCGGTATCAACCACGGAGTCACAATGGGCGCTCAACTCTCTGCCACCATGGTCATAGGTGCAGACCTAATCCACCCAGGACCAGGCTCATATCCAGGCACACCATCTATAGCTGCTGTTGTGGGTTCAGTCGATCTATATGCGGGCAAGTGTCTTGGATCTTTACGACTGCAAGATGTTCACAAGACAGATCGAGAGGTACGTCAAGTTCACCCTTTGCTTGTGGTTTTGCTAATCATCTTAGATCATCGATGAGAAGTCTCTCAAAGAAATGGTTCTTGAGAGGTTGATGGCCTGGAAAGAGTTTGGTCTCGGTGTTGTCAACGAGCTTCCTAACAACATCATCTACTTCCGCGACGGCGTTAGTGTCGGACATTATGACAAAGTCAAAGAAATCGAACATCGAGCTGTTCGCGCCGCTTACAAAGAGGCCAGATCGCAGCGTAACCTCCCAGAACAAGAGCTCAAGCTTGTCTCTGTCATAGTCACGAAGCGTCACCACACTCGATTCTTTCCACAGAAGCCGGAGGAAGGAGATAGATGGGGCAATAAGAACACCCATCCTGGTACCTGCGTCGACAAACTCGTTACATCACCCTACTATCAAGACTTCTTTCTGCAGTCTCACAGTGGAATCAAGGGCACAGCAAAGCCTACGCATTACTTCGTGCTCGAGAACGAGATAGAGCTCTGCAAGCTTGAAGGCCTACGAGATCTAGTAAGTTTATCAGAGCTCTTGCTTCGTTCGTACACGCTGACACAAATGCAGATCCATAACCTCTGCTACTCATATGTTCGCACCATGGGCGGTGTCTCTTACGTCTCACCAACATACTATGCCGACCGGCTATGCGAGCGAGGACGTCTCTACATCCGCAAATACTTCATCGGCGACGACAAATCTCTCTGGGACGACTTTGGCGCCGAAAAGAAGCGACAGGAAGACATCTGGAGAGATGCGCGAGCCAAGATCTACGGGACAGGAGAACGCAAGAAGAGTTCCAAAGAGCGACAAGCGGAGAAGGATGATTCGGAGAAGGTCATGACTCACATGAAGGACTGGATGCTCAAGAAGGTTGAGAATGAGTTCTACATATTCAAGGATCATGCGGACGAGAGCAAGAGGTGGAATAATCCTTACTCCAAGGATCTGGCGCAGACGATGTTCTGGATGTGAAGGATCTGGAGTCTGGAATGGTGAGTGTGATGGTGGTTGATCTCATGTGAGGCACTGATGATGGACGGAATGTGGTTCTCTTCTTTCCTCCTCTTTTTTAGGTTTCCCTTATTTCCTTCTGTCTGCTGCTTCGTCGCGGTTTCCTAGATCGTTGTCATAGACTCTACTTTCTGTACTCAATAGACTGTCAAACCCACAAACCCATTGCACTCCCCACAAGACTCACATCTCGCAAGCATGGCCCATGCCCTCTTAACGCATTGATACGTACACATGAGTTGATCTTAATGTCTACCGATGTAGCTGCTCGGTGGTGTTGCGCCTTCATCCACCTGCCTCTGCCAGATGCTAGTGCGGTGACGTCATCATCTGCCACACAATCTCCATCCCAGTTGCTCCATGACTCCGACGTAACCCTTTACACCACGCACATCGCACGCCAAATAATAAAGCCCAGCTTCAAATGAGCTGACTTGTCTAATTGACGCTATGCAACAACATGAGATTGCGAAACGTTCTCACGGCAGCCTCTTGCCGCATCTACTCGACACATGGGTACCGAGCTTATGGCGCACCTACCTTTGGAGAACATGGAGCCATGCTTGAAGCTCATGCAACTCAGAGGCGAAGTTCAAGAATTCCAAGATGATAATTATAATAGTGGAGCGCGCATTGAAGCGCTGCTTCTATGAACGATACGATCGGACTTTGCTCCTGGATACAAGGTCACCGCCTTTCTGCTCTTTCCAGGTTTGCTGCCTGAGCATACACATACTCCTTTTATCAAGGCCGCTCAATGTCATTTCGCAAGTCACCTGCTGCGTCAAAAAGTCTGCGAGTAGGTGTAGGCGTCTTCTTCTGCTAACTCTCTATTCTCTAGTCAACCAGCTTTTCCCGTCTGGAGCGACAATACTCAGACTCTCCAATCATTGGATACGCATGTATCAGTATCGACATCACTCATGTGCGATCTGTCGCGGGGGTTGAAATCGAGCGTTCTGCGCTTGCTACCAAACCTTTTTCGATAAGCACACCATCACTGGACGTGTCTGAAATCAGGACTTTGCGCGCGGTTGCGTAGACTACATTCAGTTGTCGGTTGTGAGGGGCAAGCTTTACCAGATTGGCCATCGCCGACGCTTGGGATTTACTACAGCAAGCAAGGCAACACATGATGCACCAAGTCCACACAAGCCCAGAGAAGACAGCTTTGTCTACTAAGGATGCTGTAGCCTGATGACTCTCGACAAAGTACCAGCTAAGACGGCAATCGAAAAGTCCGATACTGCAAGCGGCTTTGTAGCAAGCATATCACGGGCAGTATCTATACACGGTCAAGATTGCTTTCCCGACATGACTGTGCGTGTACCAAGCCTGCGCGAGTAGCAATCTTCACATTTGAAGTATAATAACGGTCTCCATTCCGCTGAGTATCACTGTCATCATCGAGTACCACTCATCTCAGCATGGTCCGTAATAAGAACGGCAAAGGCAGAGGCTATGACAACCCCAAAGCTGAGCACAATGCGATCAGTGCCAAAGAAAAACGGCACATCGAGAACAATACCGCGAACTTCATTATCTATCCATCCATGAAGGACGACTACTGGGCTTCGCTCGACCGTCTCAAGAGACCAGCTGCTAATGAATTCTACAAAGACTTGATACGCTACGGTGACTATCCCGGTGGCCCCAAAGATCCCAACAAAGCGGAAACTCCTTGGCCGAGCAAGCCGGCTGCTACGATAGAGAAACCCGATACGAATCATTCTGGTCATGATACTCAGGCGCAAGGTATTGGAGCTAAGATATTTTCATTCGGTCATGTATCCAGCACGTCTGCGGACAGCGAGAGCAGCACCCCTGGAGCCGAAGCATCCAACGAAGACACCATATTGGAGGGCGCGAATGAAGCAAATGTCGTCAGCACAGTCAGCATCAATCGGCCATCGCGAGAAATCAGCAAGATTCAGTCCATCCCGCGTGCCAGTCTTCAAGACGCCCCTGCGATCAACTTCCAAGAAACCTCGACTCCCAACTCAGCTCCATCACCTTCCACTTCAAGGGGTGGAAAGATAGTTCCAGTGAATCCTGGGCTATCTGAGACTCTGTCCAATCTGAAAGGTGCCTCGAAATATCCTCTTAGAACATCGCTTCGTACTAAACCAGAACGAGGCGAAGTGATCACGAACTCCTTCCAGATGAGGATCAATGAAAAAGCAGTCTTCGCCGAGTATCGCATTCTTGGCATACCAGCATCTGAATCACGGGCTGGGAAGAAACGTTACATGGAGACCGCCATCCAAAACGTACCCTTCCTAAACAACAATCGTCGGAACTTTGCAACTGACAACGCCGACACCATCATTTCTTGGGTGAATCTACACCAGTATGCGGGCGCTCACGTTATGATCGGTCATCCGACTACTGCTGTTGGAGCCATATACCGCCTGGTGGATATCGTTGATCGAAACACTACTGCGCAGCTCAGCTTAGAGTACAAGAGACGGATTGATTTTGCCGACTTACGGTCCTACGCAAACACGTCGCACGCTGATCCGTCCAACTACGATCCGAGCGCAGAAGAGTATGCGCTCGATACCATCATGTCCAAATGCATTGTGCACGACAATACTACTTTGCATCTGAACAACCACAAGTTCTACGTCCGCAATGCCTTCCGAGATCTGGTAACATCTGGACAGGGAGCTATTGCGCCTCTTAGATCCTTGCGTGGCTATTCCTACAGGGTACACGCGACCATGGGTAACATTCTTCTCAACATCAGTCCAGCCAACAGCGCGTTTTGGAGACCTTTGATGGTCAGTGAAGTTTTGCAACATGGCCGCGGAACCTTCGGCGGAGATGTCGAGGAGGCGAAGCGAGCACTCAAGAACGTCAGGGTCTATGTCGTCCACCATCGCGACAGCAAGGACAATAGATGCAAGCACCCGAGGTGTGGAAACCGCGCCAATTGCACAGCAAATAACAGGGCCAACTTACCCAGCCTCGACGATCAGCATGCGAGACTAAAGACAATCTGTGGCTTTGGGCTGGCATGCAACCAAGAAACCTTCAGGTGGGAACACAAAGACGCGCAAGGAAATGCCATCGCAGCGCATCGCATTAATGTTACTGTCGAAAGGTACCAGTACGAACGTAAGTACAGCTCTCATCGGGTATATAGCTAGGGGTTAACCACATGACAGAATACGGACGGACGCTGCGACATCCTGGCTCGCCTGCGGTGAACGTTGGCACCAATCTGGCACCTACGTGGTTTGCCCCAGAGGATCTTCGCATCGTTCCAGATCAGATTTATGCAAAGATCATACCTGACGCAGTAGCAACCGATTTCCACAATGACGCCTGCAGGCCGCCTGCTGTTATCCGATCACGCGTTGAACGAGAAGCACTCTCTCGCATTCCAATTACTCAAGTTGAAGGCCTCGTAAGTCACCGACCCCTCAAGAGTTTGCAAAACTATCCTAACAGTATTCAGGCCCACTGTCCACACATACGCATGAGCCCTCACATGATCCAGATACCCTCCGTTCGCCTGCCTTACCCAGCGATATCGTATCAAGGCAACGCTACCAACAAAGTTGTGGATCAGCGCTCTGGCAGATGGAACCTCCAAAACGCTAAGTTCCTACAACGCAAGGCTGGCAACGTTTCTTGGAAGCTTATCACGGGACCAAACGTTTCCCCTAAAGGTGACTCAGTGAGGCGCGTGGAAACGCATTTCAACGCAGCACTGAGACAATATGGGGTGGCGCTGAACAGCCGAATGGAAGGTCAGCCACTGAGTTTGTCGAATGATACAGAGGATCAACTCTCCCACACCATTCGTGTCTACCTCCAAAGCCGGCAGGATCAACAACAGCCAGTACCAGACATCTTTGTCTTGCTACTGAGTCAAAAAGACCAAAATCTTTATTCCAACTTCAAGTACCTGGCCGACAAAGTCTACGTGCTTCAATCAATTTGCATGATCGAGGCCAACACGAAGGGCAACGGTATCGCACAGTATATGGCCAACATAGCCATGAAAGCAAACCTCAAGATGGCAGGCATCAATCATTCCGCAACGGGCCTAGACAAGCGTCTTAGTAACACGTTGATTCTAGGCGCCGACTGCACACATCCAGGTAGCGGAGCGCTAGCGGGCAGCCCTTCCGTTGCTGCTGTTGTCGGATCATTGGAGGCAAATGGGGGCAGGTTTCGTGGAAAACTCAAGCTACAACGACCCAAAGAAGAGGTCTGTCTTACGCTGCAATAACTTTCTTACCTTCGCTAACTGACTGTCGTTTCAGATTATCCATGGCTTGGGAGATTTCCTCGTCGACCACTTTACCGCTTGGTATAACTTTCATGGGAAGTTTCCTGAGAACGTACTCTACTATCGTGACGGTGTCAGTACCTCACAATACGATGACGTCGTCGACGTGGAGCTCGCAGGTATCGAAGAAGCTTTCGACAATTTGGTCGAAGCCCAGAAAGGCGTGGACATCAAGCCGTTGAAGATCACAGCAGTCATCGTCACCAAGCGACACAGTACCCGTTTCTTTCCTCGCCAAAAGAACGATGAGATGACAAACGGCAACTGCAAACCCGGACTCCTCGTGGATCGCTCCATAACGTCACCGTACTACACCGACTTCTACCTTCAATCACACAACGCCATCAAGGGGACCGCGCGTTCTGCTCACTATATGGTGATTAGGAACGATATGGGAATGTCAACCGACCAGCTGGAAGATCTGGTAAGTCTTACAGATGAGCGTAGGGATATTACTAACAAAGAGGTACAGACGCACAAACTGAATTACACCTACGTTCGAGCTACACTAGGTGTATCTTACGCGGCACCCGCCTACTATGCTGACCGCCTCTGTGAACGAGCACGCTGTTACCTACGCAAATATTATGTCCCCAACAACAACGCGCGCTTCGACACCCGAAATCAGCTCCGTAACGTGGAAACCGCCGTCAATCAGAATCGTAACGCTACCAACGCGAACGTGCCACCACGCCCCAGAGGTCACAAGAAGACGGATGCAGAGATCCAGGCAGAGAAGACTGATGCAAAAGACGTCGCCGATAGGATGTACAATTGGCTCAACCCAATCGCCGAGAAAAGGTTGGGCGATCAACGGGATGATGTTGCGAAGAATCCTGCAGGAGATGAGAGACAGAGGCATATGCTGGAAACCATGTATTGGATGTAGGTAAGCAAGGGGTGAACGACGGGAGTATGCTGGCGGATCACGGAGACTGCTGACCCATGGCTACGGCCACATTTTCTTCATCACCACCTCTTTTGTGGATTTCCCTTATTTCCTTTCGATGTCATAGACCGTGCTTTCTGCCCATAGATTTCCTTACTCAATAGACTGCTCAATTCACATCTTCGTCACAACTCAACCCTAAGATACTCATCACCACAAGCATTCGACTTCGAAAGAATCACTGCATTGAGACAAGAGCTGGAAAATGATATGAATTCTATTGAAACAAGTCGCTTAACCTTTCGGAAGCTTGACTAAATAGTACTGAAGCGTTGACATGCAACACTAGATGACCCTTACACTAACACCTCTAGCCATGTTGCAGGCCTTCCCTAATCTAACCCACACCAAATACAAACGCCGTAGCGCTAGAATGCAACGATGAAGATGAAGAGCCAGGAACCAAAATTGCGCCAACCGGTCGTCAAAATACGTTAAGAATGTATGCAGCGCTTGGAAGATCATTTCCACTGACCCTGGCTCAGCTTGAGCAGGCCCTCTACGCACCCGGCTTCTTCTGCTGAGTTTATACTCGAGCGACCACTCGCGTCGTCACCGTGCATGAACTGTCGCAGCTCATCGTCTTGCTCGGGGTCGACAACACCCTTGCCAGCTTTCCGCTTGTCCTTGGCCAGCATGGCACCGAGACTTGACGTCTGCGACATCAGATCTGTGTTCTCTCCCAGTATCTTGCGAGCTGCTCGTGAAGCAGGAGGCGTAGCGGCGACTTGGCGGTCTCTTCGTACAGACTTGGACGCGTTAGGCTCCCAGTTCTCCTTATCGCTCTCCGTTTGCGGGAACTCGTCCGACTCGGTGCTTTCACCGCCCTTCTTGTAGTCGGCATAGTCCTTGCTGGAGAAGCGGCCGCTGATGGTGGACGCGCGTTGCATGGAGCCGCGAGCCTTCTTGAGTGGACTGCTTTGTACTTTATGTGAGCTGTGGCGTGCCATCAGCGGGCTGCTGTTTTGGCGGGCCTGGTTCTGTGCTAATATCCTTCGGTTCGCGCGTAGTATGCCAATCGCGTCAGCTGCACTGCCACTCTCCTCTTGTTCGGCACGCGTTGTCAGGCTGGTTGTTGATCGGCTCTCGGGATCACACCAGAACTCCCATGCACGCGAATCCCTGCTCCTTCCGATATTCGATGTTGTCCTTGGTACCTTGGGGCTCGGCTCGCCTCGCGCGGCGGCGGCTAGGCGGTCGTTCAAGCCAGCTGCACTGTAGCTTCGTCGCAGGCCAGCAGCGGCACGGGAGAAGGAAGATGGAGTCTTCTTCGACTTTGGCGGTGATGGCGTCTTGTCGAGGTCGGTGACGATACGCGCAGTGCCGTCCTCATTGGTCGCTATCCGCACGAAAGAGTGCTTGCGCTTCAGTGGCCGGGAAGGGGTCTTGGTTGCATGGTCAGGTGATACTGAAGGCTTCGGAGGGGCGTTCGGAAAGGTGATGACTTCGGGCGTGTAATCGTCGAGATAGCGGACGAACGACGCGCTGCGACGGTTGGAGATCCATGATGTGCGTTGTTGCGCGGCGCCCTGTGAAGATGGTGCAGCCTGCTGCGAGTTGCTTATTTCAGCGGAGGCATTTTCGGTATTTTGAGTTTCGGTAGATGGCTCTGCGACAACTTCGTTCGCGTTTTCTGGTTCGTTGGCAGAAAAGGTAGTGTCGATGGTGCGTGGTTCTGGGATCGTTTCGTCGGAAGTGAGTTCTGGCGTTGCGGGCTGCTCGGGTGGGTCAGACCTCGGGCACTCGTCCGCCGGCGCGTTATCGATATTGCGCGCAATGGCTACCGTCTCGTCCTCGGTGGGCGGGTCCGACATGGTGGAAGAAGAAGACATCAGCGATGCCGTGGAAGATGGTTCGAGAGGCCGTGAGCGACGGCGGTCGTTTTGGCGTTTATCTAAAGCAGAGCGTGATCAGGACGTGTTTCGAAAATCATGCGCACAACCAAGCCACGCGCAACACTTCGGAGCGATTCAATCGGATCGATTGAAAAGCAAGCACCAGCGACGCGCACAACAGATGGATTGACTTACTTTGAAACCAAATCTAGGACGCGATGTTAGCAAGGCGCGCACACTCGTGACGTGGAGAAATTGGCGCTTACCTGAACTTCTTTCTCGCCAAGCGCGACTTTGCGGACGATCTCTAATCGTGCTGCCTTGTCTGGCTTCGGGTTCTTGAGATATTCCGATTTCAACACGTCTTCGTCTTCCTTGCTGCAAGATGTCGTGGTCAGCGCTGATGGGGTGATGGAGAGTCGTGCCCGCGGGGTAGGCCGAAGTAGCTCCCGATGGTAGGTTGCGCACGAACCAACGCGTTGAACATGGGTCGACACGGTCGAGATGGAAAGGCAGAACTTGGATGGAATGAGAGCATACCTGGTGCGTCTTCTCTTCTGGCGAGCAAGAGCTTTGTTGTCGACATCCGGTGGCATGTGGTTTGCGACAGTTTCCTGCGAGTGCACGAGGAAGGCCAATTGACCACTAAAACTGGCGCGTCTGACGGTGGGAAGACGCGATGACGCAGGCGAGGAAAACGACGGCAAGGGCGATGAGGCGGACATGATGGGATGACAACAACGGATGTTGGCAATTGGATTTGGTGTGATCAGAGAAGAGCTACCATGAAAGAGAGTTATAGTAGAAAGAATAACGCGTTCAATATGGTGGCAGGAAAGTAGTGTGCGAGGCGCGTCTTCAGTCGCGTACGTATCAGATTGGTCCGAGCCGAGCGCTTGCCTATGTCGTGCATACCACTTGACTGAACTTGCCGCCCGTGCACACGACCACTCCAGCCTCATATCCTGTATTATCCATGCGGCAGATGGTCACGCATGCACGAGCATGATGAGGCTGAGAAATTTCCACATTCTATCACGCCCAATCTGAGCATCGCTGACGAAAACGCGTGCATCCCATCACTTCAATAGCCTTTCGTGGTTCATCTCGGCGTCGTGCAAGGAACTACGCGAACGCGGGACGACAATTATCTGTTTTGCTTTTCCAAGGTTCTCAGCCCTATTTCGGAACACGTCCAAGAACGCGCGTGAGCAGAGCCCATTGAGCAAGATTCCTCCAACAGTATTGGCCCGCGGTGTATTGCCGCCCCTTTCTCGACATCATCTGCTTCCGCGCGGGACGAAGACGCGTAGGAGTCGCGACGAAAACCATGCTTCTGTTTCCACACGCGTAGCACTGACAAAGCTAGTACTCAAAAAGGATAGTGGTGAAACACGTCCGCACGTGACGCGCTAACCCTTCCAATCACCCCGCCACATCCGCGAAACACGAGTCAAACAATGCACGGTTCTGCTCATCACAACGTTCTGACACAAACTCTCTACCATCGGTATCCTCCGATGACCTACCCTGCCTGTACGCATCATTGCGACTGCAATCTAGGCAGCGACACGCTACTCAACGACTATCCAGTCCGGCCTGCAGTCTAACTCTCTTGGCGGTAACCCTCACCGTCAGATGGGCTTGCACGATGCTCAACCACCATTCCATCTCTGTTCCCGCAGATGCGCATACTCACTTGTCCTTCTTAGCATCTGACCTTTTGCATGCACTTTGGTCTAGTCGCGGTCTCATTGTTCCATACCTTCGTACCCCACATCCACCGGTGAAGACAACCATACAAGGCAGAAGGTTTTGGAGCAAGAGTCGGAGGGTTCCGTGGCCTGATTATACAGATCTTTCGCGTCAAGACTGATCGGTGTCTTTCTGCCTTGTACAGTACACTCTGACGATGTCTGTGTTCAGGAGCCAAGGAGAGTTGCACTGCTCGGACCGAAGCCGACAGAAGATATTCGTAAGACAGCTTACTATCCCGCAACCACGTGCTGCGTGCGGCACTTCTGGAGTTTCAACATTCGCGTATTGGCCATCGAGATCTGACCGAGTGCCTGTGGCTTTTTGGCGTTCGTGCGATCCTTGAGCCTCACCGGTTTTGGCCCCATTTTCCTATCTCGTCATCACCAGTTACCTCCTAACCTGCCATTACGATGGATGATTGGCGGATGGCACCCTTGCCCAAATCACAGCTACCAACGGTGTGCTGTTCTGACAGCCCTACGAAACAAGAAAACCCGACCGCTAGGTTCCTGTTCGCGTAGGCGAGCTACTGCATCGAGCCTCGGATGAGGGTTTCACACCCGAGAATCTACACTTCGGTCAGAGATACGGTCGCATCGTGGTATAGGGCTAGCCCTATGGGTCCACTTTCGTACGCAGACTCCGCTTCCGCCGCGAAGATTCTGGAGTCTGAGATTCTTTCGCACGATATAACCGCCACTCTACCACTGGAACGCGGACCGTGACTGAACGTTCAGCTAGCACTTCAATTGGTTGGAGCTCACTGCCTAGTGCTATTGTCGCAGGACATGACTATGCACGGTCTCGATGCTCGTTTGGCTTTGATTCGCCGGGGCCAGGTGTTTCTTCCGTTGATTTCATCTCTAGTCCTCTGATCGGATGCAGGGCTTAGGCCTCTATTCCTCTTTTCCCGGTCTCTGTCCGCCGTCCGCAACAAGTGTGCTATCTCTTCCACTGTATCACATGTTGAGCCAAGAGTCACGGGAGCTGTCGTGGACAACACTCCAGCGAATCGGCCCCTGATTGTTGACTAGCGAACATTTGACCCAGCGGGAAAGGCGTCGAAAGCAGGCAACTGTACCCAAGAGGCGAATAGGTCCGCCGTTAGCCCTTGATCATATCTTGTCACGCCAACCTCCGAACACCCATGCACGTTGCAGAAGACGGTGGCAGTCGTTCTACCGCCGTGCTAGCACTAGACCGGGCTCCAGGAACTCCTTGATGTAACAGGCTTTGTTTGTGTTTCTTTACGCTACAATTCAATCTCATTGGCAGCGTCACTTCCACATAACTCTGTATTGTAAGCGATGTTCCCATATGTGCAGCTTTCCCCTGTTGCTGCAATATTTCAGGCCGACCACGATAACCTGTGCGTTACATTCACCTTTTTCACCGATACAGTGCCACCCCGGTGAGTCACGGGCGTTCGTAGCGATGTGATGGTGTTGACGGAGGCAGTCTTAAAGCCCAACTCACGTCCGGCTTTGTGCTACACAAGATACAGGATCGAACTTATAAGCTCATACGCCCCAGCATCCTCTTTTAACTTAACAAGCTCAAGCAAAGCAATGTCTGGCAACATGCGCGTCGCAATAGCAGGTAAGGCAGCCATCAAAGGCCAAGCAAACTACACTCGGGCAACCTTCTTACACTGTTAGGCACTTCTGGTCTAGCGCTTCTGATAGCACAAGAGATCAACAACTCGACGAGCCACCAGCTGATCATTCTCTCGCGAACCGTAAATACCCCTTGGAAGAACACAGTCCATCTACCGAGTATCAAGTAATGAACTAACAATCACCAGCATCAAACGAGCCTGATCGCTTCTGGTTACAACTGTCAAGTCGTTGATTACAACAGCCCCACATCCCTGCAGCATGCATTGATGGGTGTCGATACTGTCATCTCGACTGTACTGGGCAATCCCCAACTCCGTCTAATAGAAGCGGCCGTACAGTGCCGGGTTCGTCGCTTTGCACCTGCGGAATTTGAAGGTCAGCCAATCCAGCGAGGCCAAAACGCGCTGCTCGATCGTGGCCGCAACTCTGCGTTGGCCTTACTGCACCACTACCGCGCCAACATACAGTATACGGTCTTTGTTTGTGGCATACTTTATGAGCGCTTCTCGGTGAACGGGATGATGTCTCATCGTCTTGGGACTCATAGCGGCTATGGCAACGAGGGAGACTTCATCGCCGACCCACGGCAGATGACTTCGATGGCACCGATTTACGACGCAAACCAAAACCTCTCCTGTATCTGCCTGACATCCGCATACGATGTGGCACAGTTCGTGGTTCGTGCCCTCGACATGCCAACTTGGCCTTCCGAGATGAGCATGTGTGGTGAGCGTATGACCGTCCATGCCTTGGTCGAGGCTATCAAGGCGTGCCGTAGTAAGTATCATCACTGTTTGTCTGATGAAAGAACTTTGCTAACATGTCCTTGGACCGACCATGGGCTAGCATTGACTACCAAGCCCCCGCCAGTACGCAGGTATTCTTTACAGCATTCATGCAGTTGCTGACCGACTACGCAGATCTCGAGTACCAAATGACGATGGCTCAACTGGGAGGAGACACAGCCGGACAGAGGCGGCTCGCACCGCTCCTCGCGACAGCGGAGGGGCGCTATGATTTTGCGGTACCCGCCTACCTCAACTCAGTCTACCCAGACGTGCAGGTCACTCGTTTCCAAGACTGGTTCCTGCGCAACTGGGCCTCGATACCGTGAACCAATATCATTGTGGAGTATCATCCGGTACTATGACGATACTTCCGGGGCCGAAGAATATCCGCACGGGACTGGTCATATTTGGATCGTGCATAGGGGTTCGGTTCCTAGGATTTTGACAACATTTCATGGGGCTCCATGCTCCGTCTTCTCCACTTACATACTGATTCGATTTCGTTCTCAGACTGCTTCTATGTACCAATATCGAGTTGGCGATTGAACTAAGGTCTGTGGGTCGCAACAAAGCTTCGAGGCGTTGACAATGGGATGCTCTTTGCAGCTTACAATGCAGTTAAATTCGTAATGTTATCAAGTCTGCAATCCCCAAGTCGTTGCAATTTTACAAGGGTTTGGCACTTGTGAAGTTTTGATCAAGGTTGTGTCGCTTACGCCTGAGACACGACCTGGAACGCCTCCGCTGCCAACACCGCACGCGACACGTAGCGGCTCGCTCGTTCCGAAGCACAAGCAACGCTAACTATTTCTGCAGAAGCATACCCGATCTGCGATGATGTGAGGAAGGGTCTTGTCAGAGTTTGATGGCAATCTTCGATGGGGAATTACATCAAGTCGACGTCACCGGTGGGGCAACCGCTCCCCACTGCCATAATAAAACCACGACGCGCCTGAACACTCCTTTCTTTCCAGTATCACAACCACAACTTCAATTACATCTTCACGACCAAATTCACATTTTCGAAAACTTCATCTTTCTTCCTATACCCACAACGTAAGTTTCATTCCAAGAGGTGGTGTGGTGGACGGGTTAAGTTGCCGTTCCTGGCGCGACGCCCACGAACCATCCACAAGCACGCGTCTGTTCATGTTGCTAACGTATCTTCAGCACAAACACATTCAAAATGGTTTCTTCTCAGCAAGGCTACGCTCCCACCACCGTCGACATGAAGGGTAACCCCCAAGCTGTCAACGAGGTTCAGTCCAACCTCCCTCTCCCCGAGCAGCCCCCTGTCGCCTCCGACTTCAACTCTGCCGATGCCAGCACCGTAAACGTTGGCTCCGGTCGCCAAGAAGCCTCTTTCGCCTCCGGCGGTGGTGCCATCCGTGAACCCGCTGTCGGTGCTGGCGGTGCTTCCGGACGTGAGGCCAAGGATGGCCTTGGTGGCATCCCCAACGACGCTGTCTCGCGCGAGGCTAAGGACAAGGCTGGTCTTGCCGACACCACCAACAAGGACTACGGATACCCACAGAAGAACGACCCCAGCTCGGGCGCCAAGCAGTAGAGTACTGCAGGAGGAAGAATAATGAGATACCCGAAGCATCATGGGATTGTATGATTATGGCTACTATCACTGCGCTTAGTAGCAGACTGCAAGAGCAGTCTTACGATGATCAATGAATGAAATGAACGAACAAACAAATGTGTCATCTCCCTGTCGAATTGTGATGTCGTGATGAAGACGATGATGTATGAATGAATCCCATCGACCCATGCTAGACTTCGTGCCAACGCCTCACGCGATCCGGATTAGAGTGCGCATGCCACAGCCGCACCAACAGCACCTGCCCGGATGGTCCGTTCCTGACGCCATGTCAGCCGCAGTATGCACGTATGCCCGACTCTAGCATATGTATGGGTGGGCCCATTGCCGCTTTCCGAGCTACCACAGCTACGGCCGTTCGACTAAAGGCGGGGTTGTTATGAGCACCTAGGTAAGGCTGAAGTAAGGTGGGATGTCTTGATGTGACGACGTCATGACGCAAGTATATCGGGGCTTGAAGTCTGACGGTATACATAGGTCAAGTTTGCACTTGACTTTAGGTACTCATACCACTTGAACTACCACAACTTTTCGAATCCAATCAATCGATTTACTCCAAATCTCGAAAATCGCAACACAAAAGAACTATACCTAACAACAACATGTCGGCTTCACACGGACAGAAGGTATGTTTTCCGTCTGGAGCTCTCATACTTCATTCTTTATCGCTGAATCATGACCTCATTCGTCATGACGGAATCGCAGAAACACTCACTAACTTACTACTCATAGGTAACCACGGACCCCGCGTCTAAGATCCCCGTCCACGAGGGTGTCGGCACCGTCACATCAGACTCTCTAGCAGGCGAGTCCCTGAAGGGCAACGGTTCATTCGGCGAGGGCAACCCCAAGGCGGCAGCAAGCAAGCAGCCATCAGCATCAACCACCACAAACACCCACGACACATCAAACGCAACCAAGCTCGATGCCGCCGTCAACGCCGAGGCACGCGACGCGCAAGAAGGATGGAACGAGGAGAAGATCATGAACTCAGGCAAAGGTCTGGGTAAGGAGGCCGGTGTCGGTCCTACATACGCAGTTGCTGGTGGAGGTGCTTCATCAGGAGGCGCTGCCAGCGCTGGCACAGCACCTACAGGTGTTGCTGCTGGAAAGAACATTGACCCCAGTGTTCTTCAGCCCAAGGGTGCCAACTTGACAGAAGACCCCAACATGAGCGGTAACACCAAGCTTGGCGAGATCGGTACAAAGGATGACCCTTCTAGGCAAGCGGAGCTTAAGTTGGCGAAGCAGGCTGCGGCGAGTGCTGCGGTTGAGAACAGGGACCTGGCTCAAGGCGGCGACTCCAAGTTCAGCAACCTGGGTGATACCAACGCTTAAGTGTTGATGATGCATGGCGATATACTTATACCGTAGAGTAACGAGCCTAATGAATGAAACAAATAATGACCTGCAAGCTGTTATCGATGTTATGGTGATGAAAGCGACAAACTCGAGGGGTGAAAGCAGCGCGTGGCGGGGCCCTCCCAATCGGGCCTCTTCCGCGGGCACGGACGCGGGCCGTTGCAGCAGTTCAAGGTGGCCTTTCGCGACGCGGCATGAACCTCAACTATCAATGTCGCTCATTATCCCACCCACGCTACTTTCTTTCACCTAACCGTTGACCGAATCGAAATTGGGTCTGCAGCACCCCGATTGTTCGTTTGACTGCCCACCATGAACGGCTACGGGGACAACGGGCACGACGAGGATCCATTTGGTCCAGCCAAGGGCGGCATTGTGTCCAGTTTCGATGCCTTTCGTAAGTGTTGTCTTTACGCGGGTGTAGAGATGGAGGGAGGAGTAGCAGGCAGTTTGAAGGTCTCGAATGGCCAATACATGTCGTGATGCGACTTCCCAGCCACATGCGACACCGCGATCGATCCAAGATGAACCCGAGGCTAACAGATATCTACAGCTAAAACTAAGAAGACGTACCTTGTACAAGGTCGCAACTCCTCCGCATGGACAGTGACGCTTATCATAACATGCATCTACCTCGCCTGGTCCGAGATCGCGCGCTGGTTCGCCGGCACAACCACACAATCATTCGCCGTCGAGAAGGGCGTGGCCCACGGCATGCGGATAAACCTCGACTTGATAGTAGCTATGCGTTGCGCCGACCTTCACGTCAATATGCAAGATGCTGCCGGTGACCGCACCCTAGCTGGCGAACTCCTGCGCAAAGACCCAACATCATGGGCGCAATGGACCGGCAAGAACGCCGAGAGTGGGACACACGAACTGGGCAAAGACAAGAAAGTTGGATGGGACGATATCGAGGACGTACATGAGCAGCTGGGCAAGGCGCGGAAGAGCAAGTTCAGCAAGACACCGCGCGTGCGCGGACAGACAGACAGCTGCCGCATCTACGGCAGTATCATTGGAAACAAGGTACAAGGCGACTTCCACATCACGGCTAGGGGCCACGGATACATGGAGTTTGGAGAGCATCTTGACCATTCCAGTGAGTCCAAAGAATCAAGAACCACGAAGACAGCAGTAACTGACATCCTCAAGCTTTCAACTTCTCGCACATCATCCGCGAAATGTCCTTCGGCCCATACTACCCCTCGCTCGTCAACCCCCTCGACAACACCATCGCCGTAACACCAACACCCCAAGACAAATTCTACAAATTCCAATACTACGTCTCCATTGTCCCCACCATCTACACCGACGACGCATCCATGATCCCCTACCTCACATCCAGCACATCGGAAGAAGACACGCCCTTCTCAAACATGTTCCACACCACCCACGCCATCAAGACCAACCAATACGCCGTTACTTCCCAGTCCCACAAGGTCGCTGAAACCTACGTACCGGGTATCTTCGTCAAGTTCGATATCGAGCCGATTCTGCTGGCGGTGGTGGAGGAGTGGGGTGGCTTCTGGAGACTGATCGTTAGGCTGGTGAATGTTGTGAGTGGTGTTATGGTGGCGGGGAGTTGGGCGTGGCAGATGTTTGATTGGGCAAGTGAGGTTATGGGGAAGAGGAGGAGGAGGGGTGATGGTGTGGGTGTGTTGGGGACACCGTCTGTGGAGAAGAAGAGCTGGGATTAGATGATGGTTTGGGGGGTTGATAGAGGGCAGGATGCATCCAATGGCGTTCAGGTTATGGGGAATGGGTTTCATCTTGGGAATGTTGTGAGTAAAGTAAACTCCTTTCTACGAATTTATAAGTACTGCATACCGTAGAGTATCTGTATTTGCAGAATGGCTCGTGGCGAATATTGGATCTTGAGATTGCGGGACTGCGCGACTGCGCTATGGTACGTGTTGCTTTTCGTGCCTTACAATCCGCCCCCCTTGCATAGCTGACACTTCTGCATAGAACCCTGGAAGCAGCGCGTACTTCAACCCGTACGATCAGCTCCATCAAATGAGAAGTATCGCCAGTTCAGGAAGTAGCGCGCACTTCGACAAACGCTCCAGCCGACCTCTCTCCCACCTTCTCCCTCTTTCATTCGTTGCTTGGCGGTTTGTGCTACAAGGCGCTAGGCTGTATCTCACTTGCTCTTGCACCACCTTCGTCGGTCTTTGATTGTTTACCTCCCCACAATCTATTGACAAACGACCACATCGCTATCTATTCTCTACCCTCTTTAGCAGAGAGTTCTACCACGAAATACTGACGAGCGAACGGACGCACCAAAAACTATCTTTATCGCAGTTCAACTCGACTTGACTACACCGCGACTATGGCGTCGCCTACTCCACCGCAAGATCAAGGTGATTCGCGAGATGAAACCGAGGAGGAGCGAAACGATCGGATAAGGGAGGACCTTCGGGCTAGAATGTTAGTAATATCCATGTACAAACTATATGTGAGACAAATACTGACTTCGTACACTCATCTTTAGGCCTGCTATGGCTGGTCTTGACCGTCGTGGGGAATTGTCGGTTTCGGAAGCAGATGCCGGCGAGATACAGCAACGTTCACAACAAGATACTAGGCTTCGGAATAGCTCGCGCCTGATTCGTGCAAGGGACGCTTTCGAGGCTCGCCTCGGTAGTCAGACTGCGCGCGTCGCTCCCAGTAATCCGACCCTCACTGAAGCAGATGGTCAAGGAGCCGCCACTACACCGCGCCCAGATTCACCTCTACCTGCGCCACGGTACAGACGGATAGGTCCAACAGAGAACGCCAATGAGCTACACGTTCCTCAGAATCGACCTGCCACAGAGCGAACTAGATGGTCAGACCCAACCTTGGAGTCGCGTCTAGCGTCAGTCAGTCGTATTCAGAACATATTGAACCCTGAGCCAGCTGAGACTCCCCGGCCTAAAAGCCATATGCCCACTCTGCGGTCTCAACCAGAGTTCTACATGACCGGAGTCATAGCCGTCGACACTACCGCAGAGCGTCTTCCCGAGAACGCGGAATGTACGATTTGCCTTGAACCTCTCTCAGACGACGTGGTCAAGTTCCACGCTTGCGGCCACATGTTTCATACCGTCTGTGTACAGAGCTGGTTCGATCAGAGCGCCCCGCGTACGGGTGGGAAGCGAGGTACTTGCCCAAACTGTCGACATGAGCTGTACGAGCCAGATCCGCAATTTCGACGTTCACATGCGCAGCGAACTCCTCGTGCAGAGCCGGCGCATCCACATATGCCTGCGCCACTACGTCTTACTACAGGGGACGTAGTGGATGTGATGCATCCGGCGCTACCTCGCACTGGAGTGACTCCACCGACGGATGCTCCCCGACTTGCTGTTAGTTCCGAACGTGAATCCCGTCTCGCGCAGTTCGTGGCTGATCACCGAGAACGTGTGAGGGCGCATGACCAGCAAGAGCAGCAGGCTGGCAATGCTCAAGCTCTAGCTCTAGGTCGAGAGTTTGTAAGCGTCACTCGAGTACCTCATGTCGCTCCCGGATCTCACCTACCTGGATACGCGCCTCATCGCATTGAGTCATCGGAGAGCCCCCGAGGCGGTACGATGGAACGAGATTACCCTAACCTTCCTAACGCGGCATATGGTAGTCGGCAGCCAATTAGTCAGAACCAAATGCTTGAATATCAGCGGATGTTAAATCAACAGCGACAGAATGCATCCAACAACTCGCGATTCCAAACGCTTGGTCGTTCAGCGGCCAGTATAGCAATGACTGATGCATTGCGCCGGCCTACTACATCCGCTAGAGAACCAGAAACTGGACATAGACCGTCAGATGTAGCGGAGCCGGACGAAGATTCTGATGCCGATGATATTCCCTTTCCAACATTCATCCCGGAACGACCTCCAACATCAACATTTCAATCTAACGGACTCTCGGATCAACCACGCGAGTCTCGAGCCGATCTAGCAGCACGTGCTATCGCGGAGCGTCGCCCCCTGTCAGAAGTACCAGGCCTCAACACCGGATTTGCAGCTATCCCACCTCTTTCGCCACAAGAGGCTGCACGCCTTGTCAGAATCCGCGAGTTACCAGGGTCAGGGCTGGATCTAGCTACGCGCACTACTGATCAACTCCGAGACGAGCAGGTCATGTTGTTGGATCGTCTCCGTGCGGTACAAACACAGATAGGCCGAAATCTAGAAGCATCTGGAGAGCGTGCAATGAACGCCGCTGAGCGAAGGGAACAGATACGAGCGATGGCCTGGAACAACCCACAAACTGCACATCTATACGGTGGGCCGGCGCCTGGGCCGCAGGATAACACTGCGCATCGGCCACCGCCAATCGCGATTCCTCGACTTGCCGACCCATCGGTTACTGACCTACGGTCATCTCGCGAGCCTCCTGATCCAAGAGCTATAGGCACAGGAAATACTGTATGGTCGACGGATAGTACTATATGGTCGACGGACTATCCACCACCGGAAGATATGCGGTATATACTCAACCGCAATCCTGCTTCGAATGGGTCGTTAGGGTCACCACATTATGTATATCCTTCCCCTCCAGGTTTCCACCGCGACGTCTCAAGAGTCCACAGCCCACTCTTTCCTTTCTCCCCAGATGGCCCCCGCACTGCCACGGACAGCAACATGCTGTACGGACGAAACTTCAACGATGAACGATTTACATTGCCTACGTTGCCTACTTTGACTACACGCTCTGATCTCGTAGCAACTGCTCAGCCTGCTTCTGAAGGCAACCAGGGTGCAGCCGCGGAAGACACACAGTCAGTACAACATCCACGTCGCGTATCTAGTACCGTCGTGAGGCACATGCATGATGACTCACTACCATTCAGGAACGCATCAACAGATCCTACAGCCTTCCGGCAACGTCCCCGGGGGCGTCGTAGCCCGGTTTCTTTTCATCAGGAAGTACGAGAGGCCGCTGCATCAGATACACACCGCTTTCGTTCTCGTGAAGCACGGTCTGCATCGCCCCAAGAAGATGACAACAGCGCCGATGTCCCTGAGGCATCAAGCTAGACTTGTTACGTTGAGATATCAGGCATGATAGAAAGAGGAGAACGATGAGCGCGGTTTGGGCGATTTGGGTACGATTGAAGCTTGAGCGCGGTCGAAGAGACAATGCATAAGACCCCTTGAGCTTTGAAGTGGGGTGAAAAGAGAATGTTCATGATGCAGCTAGTCAGTGTTGGGCTTACCTCAACCGGGCCATCAACGGTTTGATGTAGACATCGAACAAATACAATAGAAATCATTGATCAAATGTCTGGTTTGTCAGCCCCGGTTCCTGATTAACGTCGCGAGTGAAGGCCTGAGGACGCGGAAGCCCAGATGATCGTAAAAGGTGTATCACTCAAGACCGCAGAAGAAGCAGTGAAAGTAGTAGGTCATAGATCTTGCCCATAGGATCCTACATTGTGAATGTCTGTTTCGCCACAGTGCTGTACAGCCACAGTCTAATGCTTTTCACAGCCTAATAAAGAGGAGCCTATATTGTGTGATCCCCGCCGGGTTTGAACAGATAATCTCCTCAACCCGCACTCGACTCTCCAGCTCCACCCATAGTTCCAACCAGCCCAGCCGTGAACATGGACTCCTACGTCGGGCGTAGAACTCCGGAGCTTAGTGATACATCGTCGTCTTCTAACGAGCGTGCTGTCCCACAGACCAATACCACACCGCCTTCCAACATGCCCGCTCTCCGCAGCCAAGGAGAGTTCTTCATGACCGGCATCGTACCAGCAGGTCCCCAGCCCGAAGAGTCAGACTGCTCAATTTGTGCCGAACACCTCGCCGAGGATGTGGTACAGATAGCTCGCCCATGCGGCCACATGTTTCACGCTGTGTGCCTACTCACCTGGCTCCAAGGCGATGGACGACGAAACCGCACTTGTCCCAACTGCCGCTGTGAGCTATATGCGGCGCCAGCTCCAGCACCATCGAGCTATGCCCGCACCCGAGAAGGTATCATGGAGCGGAGAATGCAGGCAGAACGCCAGGCCTTCAGGCGTGCAGGAAGAGTTGAGGAAGGTGACCTAAGATTGGCTCAGCTCGCTTTGGGACGACAGACTGCCGCGACCCGCACATCGGTTCATACGGAACCGGTAAACTTCGATCGTCGCAACATCCGTTCTGCAAATACACCAGAGTCAATCAGGGGATGGGCAAGGCGAACCCAAGCTGAGATGTCTAGACAGATGACTCCGGAAGATAGGGAACTCATGCGAAGGCTGAGACAGACTGCTCAGGAACGAGAGCAGGAACGAGAGGATGAAGAGGCCCGCACAGCGCTTGATAGGATCCCGCCCGGTGCAGATCGTATGTTATTCCGGTCTGTGGGCACACCAACCTGGAGAAGTAGTATGGAGGAGGCACTTGAAGATGGGGACCCTGAGCGTCCCACAGAAAATAGGAGGAACACTATGCAAAGAATGTCACAGATGGTTGCGGATGGAGAGGCCCCAGAAATCGAAGAGCTAATTCGTAGGCAACCGGCTTACCACGCCTTAGGTGGTGAGCCAGCAGCCAGCTCCGCCAATCAGACGAGGGCATCGGGAAGAGCAGAAGCAAGGGCTACACTGCAATCCACGCATGACTTAGCGGTGGCTGAAATGAGACAACTGGAAGCAGCTCGTCTTCAAGATGGGCTCCTACACGACAGTGCCGAAGCAGCAGCAGTCGAGCGAAACTTGGCAGATCTGAATAGAATCAGGCGCGACAGCATACAGCAACTTCAACAGTTTGATAGACGAGCCGCAGAGGAAGATCGTTCGTCAGATGATCCGATTCCCAGTATCAGGACACGTAGACGCCAACGTAGCTCGTCAGATGATTCGATTCCCAGTATCAGGACACGCCAACGCCGACGCATGGCAGCTAGACGGGCTGCTGGAGAAGACAGCTCGTCAGATGATTCGAGTCCTAGTATCAGGACACGCCGACGCCGACGCATGTCAGCTAGACAGGCTGCTGGTGAAGACAGCTCGTCGGATGCCTCGTCAGATGTCCCCAGCATCAGGATGACACGCATTGAAGCTATGGCGAACCTACGAGCCGCTGAAGAAGCCAGATCTCCACATAATTCGAACCTCAGCAGCCGACTTGCTGGTGCCGCTGCGGATTTGGATTTAAGCAGAGCGAGGACAGCACGAATAGAGCAAGACATCCAGACACTGCTAGATGGAGCCTCAAGGGGACACACCAGCCAGACGCCAGGATCCTCAGCAACCAACAACATTCATCCACAACCTACGCAGTCTGCGGCTCGAGGTCCTATCATTGGGAGAACCATATACCCGGATCCGCCGCGAAACACCACCGAACCTATCGCCCCAGCACGCGATATCGCGCCGAGTAGATTAGCACGAGCCCGTCGTGTCGCATTGCTGGCCGGTCGTGGCGACGATGTCCCAGAAGAAGAGATCGCTGAGTATTATGGCTTTCCTGGTCTGACTCAGCTGCACGATGAGCCCGCTCTTGCACGCATGTCGAACTTGGCGCGCCTGCGCGTTCGCGCTCAAGCTGCTGCTGAGCTGGCCACTGTGGACATGATGAATGAACAGGATGAGGAGATTCGTAACTTGTTTTGGCCTGGAAGGCAAGCCAATGACAACAATTGATGATGTAGCTTGTTCGACGTATTGATGCGTTGTCGGTTTTCTTTTGCTCTTTAGATGGATCCTTGGGTATATAGCTTGCCTCGACTGAATAACTCTTTCCCTTGTATACTACCCCCCAGTATTGTTTTGTTCCTCCCGTGATACTCCCTTCTACTTCAACACCCACTCTCTTTCCCCCTCCCTCACATCCACAACATCACGTTCGTTTTTGATCCACTTTGCCTCCCCGTACGGCCGCACAACAGCCAATACCTTCGCCTTGACCAACGCCAACGGCAGCGGTCCAAACAGTCTACTATCCCTACTCCATTCCAGATTGTCGCCTTGTACCCAACAATGTCCTTCTGGCACTCTTATGACCTCTTCCCTTACGCTCGCCCATTTCCCCTCATGGTCCACCGCGTGCACGTCGTCTTCCCCGCGCCCAGGCGTGACTATGCTGACGAAGTCGCCTGGCATCCCGATGATGCGCTTACAACCGCTCTGTTTGGGAAATATGGGATGATTATAGGTTATGATGTCACCAACGCGGAGGTTACGACCGCGACGATGAAGCGAAGAGTATAGTATCCAGGGGTGGCCCTTATAATGGTGGGGGATCGTAGGCACCATGGAAATTCCACTGGTGGAGGATATGCCGCCAATGTAGGACGAGCATACGTGGAGGAAGACAAAGCCTTTTGCGACGGTGAGCGCGCTACCTATTGGTGTATTAGCAAATCGATTCGGAGCATAGTGTTGCAAGTACTTGCGGCCTAGGGTTTGGACAAAGCCGGAGCGGTTGAGGGTGCTCCATGGTGGCGGCATTACAATCGGATCCTGAGCTTTACTATCGCTCTAGCATCTTTTGTCTGTGATGGCGTGCCCGCGGCGGTCCACAATGCTGGCGCGGTGTTGTTGTTAGACCATCATCGAGGTCAAAGATGCTGACTTGTGGTGGCCTTCTTGCATGGGAAAGCGCTATCAAGTTTTCGGAAGTTCCCGTCGGAGGACTTGGCATCGTGTTAGCCGACATGCCTTCATCGTCAGTACCGATTCCGCGTCATAACAGGGATTTTGCGTCGCAATGCCCCAGGCAAAGCCACTGCATTTCACCAATCGTCTTACGTGTTGCTCTAGCTAACTCTCGTTAGTAGTTCGACACTTGGCCAAACCTAGCAAATAGCTTCATCCGGAAATTGTTACGATATGGGAACGGGCAATTGCTTGCTCGGTTGCTTCGCAAGTATGAGGACCGAATAGTATTGGTATAACCTTATGTTTCGGGAGCTCGGTGGACTTGGCATGTAGTGCTGGCGGAGTGCTTGTATAAGATGTAGTACGAGCAACCCGAAGGTATAGTCGTGAAAGAGCAACTGACTGAAAACATGCTTTCAACCTCTCTACTATTTCTGTTCGTATCGAACGCCATCGCTGATTCCGTTGATCCGCGAGACCATCTGCTCAATCGACAACACCAAGCCTTGCAGGACTGCCTCCACGCAAAAGCCGTCCCTACTACTCTCAATTCCTCCTCAGATTGGACTTCTCTCACCACCGCATTCAACCTGCGTCTCCAGTACACCCCAGTGGCCGTGACAATACCAGAAACTCCGCAGCAAGTTTCCGATTCAATAACATGCGCAGCTGCAGCTGGCATCAAAGTTCAGCCCCGGTCTGGAGGACATTCGTACGGGAGCTACTCTCTCGGCGGCAAGAATGGTAGCTTGACGATCGATCTACAGAAGTTTAATGAGGTATCTCTGGACAAAGGCAGGTAACTTACTCGTTTCTTCATGATCTTTGCTAACAGATCACAAGGTACTGGTGTCGTTCGAGCGGGAGGCGGCGTGCGTCTCGGAAACCTCGGACTGGGTGTATACAAACAAGGTCAGGCCGCATTGCCTCACGGTACATACCCAGGCGTTGGTATAGGAGGACACTATACGCATGGAGGTTTCGGATACTCTTCTCGTCGCTGGGGTAAGTACCGCTGTTTTGCAAATACATGTAACGACTCTTGCTAATCGTGATGTTGTCTAGGGCTTGCACTCGACACGATCGTGGCAATGGACGTTGTACTGGCCGATGGAACTCAACTTCACGTCACACGCACTACCCATCCCGAACTCTACTACGCTCTGCGTGGAGCTGCAGATAGCATCGGTATCGTGACTACCTTCTACCTGCAGACCCAGCCCGCCCCGGCACAGATCGTCAGCTACTCCGTGAACTTCACTTCCGCGCTGAAGTCTTCATCTTCCGTCGCCGACGTCCTTCTCCAGTTGCAGAAGTTTGCCCAATCTTCTCCTCTCATGGACCGTAACATCACACTTGAGATCTACATGAACATATTTGGTACCTTCGAAGTTCGAGGCTGGTACTTTGGCGACCGCACACACTTCTCCAGCGCCGTACTTCCCGCCATGCTTGAAGGTTTGCCCAAGGCCGACAACACAACGATCGCGACCAGAAACTGGCTCGATGCGCTGCAGGATATCGCAGAAGGCGAACCTCTTGTTGAGCCTTTGACTGGCTACAACAACCACCAGACCTTCTACACCAAGTCCATTGTTACGAGAGAGGCAAAGCCACTTACACGGCGCGCACTGGAGAGCTTTGCTGGGTATGTCATTAGTAAGGGATTGAGCGCAGACTCCCCATGGGAGACGTATATCTCGCTGTATGGCGGGAGAGATAGCCAGATCAATGTTCCATCGCCTGATAGTGCGGCATATTCGCATCGCGATTCGCTGTGGGTCTTTCAGGTAAACTCCTCTCCTCTCCCCTTCAGACAACACTCATCGGTCAGTATTCTCTAAGCAGCTGGCTAACCTCGTTATTGATAGAATATCGGTTCCTCGGCCAATATGCTTCCGCCTTTTGAGTCTGGCATCAAAGCGTTCGTGCAAGGACTCAATACCGCCTTGACAGATGCACAGCCAGATGGCGACTTTTTGGCGTACCCGAATTATCTTGATCCAGAGCTGACACCAGCGGAGGCGCATCGATTGTACTATGGTGATGCGACCTATAGAAAGCTCAGTGTGATTAAGGAATCAGTAGATCCAAACAAGGTGTTTTGGAATCCACAGGCGATTGGGAACTAAGTAGCTCTTCTCTAAGTCTTTGAATGCCTCAACCCGGCCCCAATCTCAACCGCAATACAAACATATTGTCCTATTCTTGCCGTATTTTTGCAATCCTCCAAAAGACCTATCATAGACTCCATTCCCAGATGTTCTGCCTGCATCCGCGCTCTTGTCAGCATTTCATCCGACACTACAGCGCCCGAATCGACTAGCATTCTCAAAATTTCTTCGAGCTCCGCCTTCACAGCGCTGAGGCCCCGAACCTCGGCCCGTCCACCTCTGAAAGTGGGCAAAACCTTTGGTAATACGTTCTATGGTGTACTGGCAACGGATTCTTGCCCTTTTGGGACTAGCTTTTCAGCTACCTAGTAAGATCTTAACCCCGATGACGCATCCCACTCCACGAACTTGCGCGACTTCACATGAACGCGCAAACATGGGTCAGACGGAAGATGACGTGATTGGACTGAAGGGTGCGGAACAGGCTGTTTTGCGGTGAGTAGCTCAATGACGAAATGATTGCACTGTTCCTTACTGATCATGTGTAAAGGCCTGCACCAACTGGTCTCGATGCGGAAGGGACGTTGCAAGATGCTGTAAGAGGTGCTTCCATTTCCTCTTCGTACTATGGATCATGCATTCCCTTCCTTAATATTTCCATAAAGAAGTATACGCCCAGATCATGCGGCTGTTTCTCCGTGTCGTTCGCATTCTCTACGTCTTTCTCTCGGAACTTTTGAAAACATCACTGTCACATGGAGCTATTCCATGTACCCTGACCCTTCGCGGCGCATTTACTGCCAATACTAAATCTCCATACAGACCTAATAACATCCTACCACGATCTCAACCCCTCAACAATCGACATCCTTACTACTGAACCCTCACCCCTCCAATTCATGCGCCACGTCGCTCGCAACCGCCCCTTCATCGTCCGCAACGGAGCCAAAGACTTCAAAGCCAGAAGAACATGGAACGCCTCGTACCTGAAAACCGTCATGCAAGGCCAGAACGTCAACGTAGCAATCACCCCCCACGGGAACGCCGACTCAGTCGTCTCCCTCCCGTCAGATGGCGCTATATTCGTCAAACCGTATGAGACCGAAGAGCCCTTTGAAGACGTCCTCAACAAGATCCAACGCCAAGAGCAAGAAAACGACTACACCGGTCCAACACGCTACGCGCAAACTCAAAACGACAATCTACGTAACGAGTACTCCACGCTCTTCGCCGACGTACCCAAGAGCATACCGTTCGCACGCATAGCACTTGAGCAAGAACCCGACGCCATCAATTTCTGGCTTGGAAACTCGTATTCCACGACTGCTCTGCACAAGGACAACTACGAGAACATCTACGTGCAGATTCTGGGGCGCAAGCATTTTGTTCTTTTGCCGCCTGTGGAAGCGGGTTGTGTTAATGAGAAGAGTGTCTTAGCTGCGACTTATACTCCGAGAGATGAAGACTTATCCTCCGAAGCGCTCAGAAAGGACGATCTGGTAATGAGGGTCGATGAGCCGGAGGAATACGTACCTTTCGCGACATGGGATCCGGATCAACCTGCTGCCAACACCACGCCTTACTCCCAATACTCGCAGCCACTCCGAGTCACGCTGGAAGAAGGCGACATGCTATACTTACCCGCACTATGGTACCACAAAGTAAGCCAGAGCTGCAACGAAGAAGGGATCTGTTGCGCAGTAAACTACTGGTACGATCTCGACTTCAGCGGCGGGTTTTGGAGTACTGCGAATTTCGTTCGGAGCGCCGGGCTACTGAGCATGGGAGACAAGACTGCAGTATAGGGACAAGACGAGAGATGATCATAGTGCGTATATCAACAAAAGAAACAAACTGTACTACGATTAGGGGTATCTCTAGGATCTACAGTGACAATCGAATCCAACGCCATGCCAATGCTTCTCTAAATCTCGCCTCCGTTTACTCTATTGTCAATGCTTGATCTTGACTTTGATGCCGACGCCCCTGGCGCTTTGCCATACACTGTCACTAACTTTGACGGGCAACTTCCGTCCTTTGAGTCTCTGGTCTATCAACCATAAACCCACGACGAACTCGTATCTGCTCAGTCTTCCGACACCTCTACTGTCTACCAGGTCCCAGACTTCTTCCAACACGTGTGTGGGTAGTCGACTTCTCGTCCAAATCTCTTTGACAAGGAGATTCAACACATCGGCTGACGGGTCGTCGTCAGGTGGTGCGTTATCCGGTGAGGGTATGTGACGACCCTTGTTGGCAGCCCATACACCTTCATAACGTTTCCGCTCCCGTTCGGTTATCTGGTCGCGCCATCGCTTTCGTGTCCCCTCATGGTGCTTGTTCGGGTGTTTTCGCCCCTTGATGCCCATAATGCGTGTGCCCTTCTTCTTGTACTTGTCGACCTTGTTGTCTTCCTCATCGGAGGATGACGGTTCTTTGCGCATTGTAGTTCGCAGCTTGCCGGCGCTCTTCGGAGGGGATTGTTTGGGCGGCGAGGGCGATCGGTGGAAGGGCGAGTGGTGATGATGCTGTTTGCGCGGCGGGAAAAGGGGCTCGACTGACATAGGTCGAGGGGCCGGCGAGACGTTGCGAGAATGGGAGGCTAGGGCGGCGCCCATTATGGCGCTCGACAGAGACTCGCCAGTCATGTGCTGCGTGATCTGCTTGACAGATTCTCGCTGGTAGTTGTTATGGTACACTGAAGGCGACCCAGTTCTGTTAGCTGACATTGGTCGACGCGGAGGCGAGAGCTTCTGTAGTGGAGCCATCGAGGCTGGGTTCTGACTCTGGGTGCGAGGCTTGATTTGTATCGGGGCTGAAGGTTGGAGTTTGTTCGCAGCCGGCGCAGGGTCGATTTTCCGTGCGGTCGATCGTCGCGGCGGAGGTAAAGCAGGTCGAGGCTTCTCTTCCTCCTCCTGGTCTTCTTTTGCTGACTTGAAAGATGTGGGTGTCGACGGTGACTGATAGCTTTCTACAGACGCAGACACTCTACGGCGCTGTTTGGACGATGACTGCGTTGTGTCCTCCGACTTTGGCCGTGTTTGCCGCGAACCCCTCTGAGGCGGCTTCGAGGGCGGAGACGTGGATGTGTTGATTTTTGCCAACTGCACCGGTTTCTGTTTGATTGGGGGAGACTTGAGAGGGTCCTTCTTGGGTGTATTGAAGTATGCCTGGTCGCTGCTGCCATCAGCATATTGTGGGGGCAGCTGGATCTTGTGCTTCGGTTTCGGCTTGACGGGCGGCGGTGTCTGCGTTCTGACTCTCTGCAGCGGTGCATCATCTTTCGGCTCGGGAGGCAGTTTGAACGCACGTTGTGGCTTGGGCGATTTCACAGGGGGCGGTGAATTCTGCGCAACGCGTATCGGTGCGGAAGGCTGCTTCGTGGGTGTGCTGGGTCGCGCCTGCTCAAACATCTTCACGAGCGAGTTCGTTGGCGGTATGGGCGTCTCGTCGGTAGCCTTGTGTTGTGGCTCTGGTCGTCGGGCATTGCGCGCAGCTGCAGGTGACTCTAGGCTGTCTCTCCTCTTCCGCGACTGTTGTGTGGGCTTCTGAGACTCGAGTCTCGCAAGCACATTCCCTACGCTGCCCGAGGGAGGCAGTGCATCCCGCTCGTTTGGCTGCTGTTCGCTCATGGCGGGCGGAACAACGGCCTTGGCCTGGGGTATAGGCCTCAGAGGGCTGTGTCGAGCTGCCGCAAGCCGTGCCGCGATATTCGAAGGCGACGAGACGCGGTCGGGGTGATCGTCAGGCACGCTCAGCGACGTCGTGCTGTTCGAATGGGATAGGTTCGGCCTACCGACGCCTACGGAACCACCGGTATGGTCCCTCCGCAAGGATGCCGGATTGCCTGTGCCGACTTTGGTTGCAGCGAGCAAAGCCCCATTGTCTCCTCCGGTATACGTGTTCACCAAAGGCTTCGGTTTCGCGAGAGGTTTGGAGAAAGCTCGAGCGGCACCTTGTAGCGCAGCATCTCGTACGTTGTGTTGGGTATCGCCGGTCGACTGCGGGACCCAGCCCTGCTTACGTGCAGCGCTCATTTACGGTCCATTGGATGGTGAGTAATAATGACGTATACGGACAATTAGGGGTCAGTAGTGCGGTTGGAAAAGGTGTTTTGGCGCGACATGAAAGCAAAGAAACGAAGGACTAAAGGGAAAACGAGTGTTGTGGAGTCGCAATTCCCCCAGTTTCCAAGATTAGTATCGTCAGCCTTGTGAATCACGGCGTAGGTACCCACTGGCATGGGTGACACCTTGGGAGATGCGCTAGCTCGTTGCAGCCTGACAGCCACGTGATCACGCGTAATGCGGCTTCCAGGCAACCACGGCCCTGCCTTCATATACAAACAAACCTTACACCCTTCGACTCACTCCTCCAATGCACCCAAAATGGCCGAAGATATACCAATGCCGGATGAGGAGGCGGTTAGGGAGAACACGCTCATGTATGGTCATGACGATGAGCTCGACGACAAGTACCCTACCCGGCCGCTGAACCTCCACAAGACGCCCCGCTTCCATACCCTGTTCACGGACCTTTTCAACCCACTCATGGAAACACAGAAGAGGAAGCAGCCTGTGGGAGCTCGTCGGAGAGTCGGGCCTCACGGACACTCCAACCTGTCACCCCATGAAGCGAAACGCAACATCATCGAAAGATATATTGCAGATTGGCGAAAGGAAGTTGGAAACGACTTCTACCCCGCGATGCGTCTCATGATCCCCGAAAAGGACAGAGATCGGGCCATGTACGGTCTGAAAGAGACGGCAATTGCCAAGATCTTGATCAAGTGCATCAGCATGGAACCCAAATCTATTGATGCCCTACACATGACGCAATGGAAGCTACCCAGTCAGCTCAGCTCAGCTTCGAATGCGTCTGCGGGCGACTTTCCTGGGCGATGTTACGATGTCTTGTCAATGCGGCAGATGAAGACCGAGTACAGCGACATGAGCATCGCCGAAGTCAACAATGCTCTGGATAGGCTGTCGCAGGTTGGTGCAGAAGAGGAGCAAGTCAAGATATTCAAGCGGTTTTACCGAAGGATGAATGCGGAGGAGATGACCTGGCTCATCCGTATGATCCTCCGTCAGATGAAGATCGGCGCTACTGAGAAGACACTCCTCGACATCTGGCATCCGGACGCGGAGACACTGTTTAATATCTCGTCAAATTTACGGCGAGTGTGCTGGGAGCTCTTCGACCCGGAGATCCGTTTGGCGGGCGAGAGCGCTGAGCTGAGCTTGATGCAATGCTTCCAGCCACAGCTAGCTCAGTTTCAGGACAAAGTAGGCAACTTTGAGAAACTGGTGAACCGTTTCCAAGCAAATGCGGACGATGATACGTTTTGGATTGAAGAGAAGCTCGACGGGGAGCGCATGCAGCTCCATATGATTGAAGATCCCGACGCACCCGGCGGAAGGACCTTTGGATTCTGGTCACGTAAAGCCAAAGACTACGCATACCTCTACGGCAGACACTTCGAAGGCGACGAGGCCGGTGCACTTACACGTTTCATCGAAGACGCCTTCGGAAAGAACGTACGGAACATTATCCTTGATGGGGAGATGATTACCTGGGATATGGAGAGGGACCACATCGTGGGCTTCGGTACACTCAAGACGGCAGCTATATCTGAGAAAGAGAACAAAACCGACAAGAAAACTGGTCAGCGGCCACTGTTCAGAGTGTTTGATTGCGTCTATCTGAACGACAAATCACTCACGCGGTACACGCTACGCGATCGACGTCGCGCCCTCGAGAGTGCCGTCAAGGGCATAGAACGTCGCCTGGAGATTCATCCTTACATCGAGGCGCGCTCGCATACCGAGATTGAACCGGAGTTACGGAAGGTCGTTGCAGAGTCATCCGAGGGTCTGGTGCTAAAGAATCCGCGCTCCATGTACTGTCTCAATCAAAGGAATAACGACTGGATGAAGGTGAAGCCAGAATACATGTCAGAGTACGGCGAGTCGCTCGACTGCATCGTTATCGGCGGATACTTTGGCACTGGGCATCGCGGTGGCGCCCACTCATCCTTTCTCATGGCTTTGATGGACAAGAAAAAGATAGTGGCCGACAACCCGATGTGTTATTCCTTTTTCAAGGTCGGTGGTGGATTCACCTCCGAAGAGTACGCTAGTATAAGGAGTCGAACGGAAGGTAAGTGGACTGATTGGAATGTCAAATATCGGCCTCCATTCATCCAGCTGGGCGGCCATAAGGAGAACCGGCAATACGAGAAGCCAGACCAATGGATTGCACCTTGCGATTCCGTTGTACTGGAGTGCAAAGCAACAAGTGTGGAAAATAGTGACAAATTCCGTATGGGATACACGCTTCGCTTTCCCCGCTTCCAAAGACTCAAGAAAGACAAGCGATGGGATCAAGCGCTCTCAGTATCAGAGTGGCTGGAAGTACAGAACAGAGCGGAAACGGAAAAGAATGAAAAAGAAACAGAGTTCAAGATCGAGCAATCACGAAGGAAGAAAGTCAGGACAACAAAGAAGCCACTGACAGTCGTTGGCAACGACACCGTCACCACACCATACGCAGGCCCAGCATCCAAAGTCTTCGAAGGCCTTAGCTTCTTCATAATGACAGAGCAAATATCCCCAACAAAAAAGTCAAAAGCAGATCTCGAAGCCGTAGTCAAAGCCAACGGCGGCAAAATCGTACAGCGCGACTCCATGGACAAGAACCTCATCATCGTCGCAGACAAGCGACTAATCAAAGTGGCCTCGCTGGAGAAACGCGCAACAAACAACATCGTCAAGCCCGTCTGGATCCAGGATTGCATCAGGCAGAACGAAATAGACGCTACTCCCTTGCCGTACCTACTCCCATTCGAGCCGAACAGGCATATGTTTTATCTCCATGACGACGATCAACTGGACTACGAGAATAATGTTGATGAGCATGGGGATTCGTATGCGCGCGATGTAGCGGATGTGGATGAGATGAGGAGGTTACTGGAGGGGGTGTCGGTGCCAGAGGATGATAAGGCGTTTGAACGAGAGGGGTTTCTGGATCAACTGGAAGATCATGGGGAGTCGTTGGCGCATCTCAAGACACATATGTTTAGTACGGTGAAAGCAGCCGTCCGAGACGATCAGGAACGACCAGATGGTATGCTGAGAGTACGGCTGGCGAGGAACTACATCCAGTTTGGCGGTGGTGTCGTGACTGACGACATAAATGCGGAAGGCGTCACGCATCTTGTTGTGCTGAACGATCAATCTTCGACCACAGGTGCAAGGAATAAGATCACTGGACTTGCCAGAATCGTTGGCGTCGCCTGGGTTGAAAAGTGCTGGGCAGAAAGCACCATGGTTGACGAGGAGAGATACCAGTGGGGTTGAGCCGCACGCGTACACCCGCGCGGAGAATGGCTTAGTTACGTTTCTGATGATACCACGAACAACTTTGCGGCAATCTTATCTTATTCGCTCTTCAAAACGTGCTGCCACTCGTAAGACCCCGCTTCCAACCTCTCTTGGTCATCTCCCCCGTACTCGTCCTCGTCACCCTAAGCTCCCTCTTCTCCACAACGAGCGCGCCCCTACTCCGCGTCAACCGTTTCCTCAGCTCATCCTCCTCTAGGTAATTCGCCTCATTACCCAACTCTTCCCGTATTGCAGTCGAGTAATCCATAATGCTGCGCAAAAGCCCCGGTCTCCTTCCACTTCTATACATCATAGATCCGCGTCGTGTATCAAGCCACATACCGACCATGATGCAGACCCAGACGAAGTTGAATATGGAGACCATGAAGAGGAAGATGTAGGAGAAGCCCCATTGGTACGTTTCGCTAGGGTTGCAAGATCCGTGGTCCAGTAAGTATTGCCCCATGTAAGAGTGGTTCGCATCTGGTCGTTTCTCGAAGGTGTATTGAGATTCAGGAAATTCGCTGAGCTTCCTTCCGGAATTAAGTCCATGAAGTGTGAGGTTGAAGCTGAAGATATCCAGGCTGTAAGATGTCGACGGCGTAGAAATCGTTACGCCGTCGAATATAAAGTCTGCCGTAATGTTGTGCAAGGTTCCATTGGTTATGCCGAAACCGTGGGCGGAACTATGCTCCACCGATATTGTTTTTCCGACTCCATCACCGAATATCTGGAAATATGACTCGTTCCAACTACTAAATTGCCCTTTGTCTATACTACGTTAGCTGAGCCTCAGAGCCACTTCCAGCATACTTACAATGGTGAATAGCATTAATAAGCGGCTGATCATCCGCTGTGACGATGAGAGGAGCTTTCAAGCCCACCCTGTCCGCGTCCTGAATGATATAAGCCACGTCCTTGGCCTTGCTCCATTCCATGAGATTACCATCGATATCTTCGATGTAAGGTTTGTAAGTCGTAATATAACCCGTCATGGCTGCCATCAAGGTTGGGAACGCGATGACATAGAGAGTTGAAAGCACCATTGAAAGGATAGCGAGCCAACGAAAAAAACGCTTCCAGGTGCCCGCCCCATAAGCCAAGGACTCTCTTCCCAGTACGCCGAGGGTGGCCATGGTTGTTGTCTCGAAGGCTACAGCAGCGTATAGTTTGTATGACGTGTTATGCATCTCCATATGATAAACCAGCCATTCATTGAAGACGCGGTAATTCACCCATGCTAGTAAGAGCTGTCCGCCTCTTCCAATAATCAGGTCCCATGCGACATCGATGACTTTTACCTGCGTAAAGGTGAGAGCACCGAAGCTCAAGTTCGGTGTAAAGAAGTAGGAGGAGTCCATGATGCGCCATGTTGCTCCGGTGGCTTCTTTCCAAAGGCCGTTCGGGTAACAGTCTCGTCCCATGATGTAGCCCTGCGATACCGTTTCCGCCGCCGCAGCGAGACCGACAATGCAGGCGAGTGCAAGAGGGAGTGCAAACAGGATTATAGTCACTCGCCAAGGGAAAGGTGACCACTTCTCGGAGAATGTCGTCCTGGGATGTTTTTGAGGCCATTCGTGGGGCGATTCGGACTTGGCGTCGCTATGGTTGTCGGCCATGGCGAGCAGTTCGGCGCTTCTTCGTGCATCGTCATCAGCGTCCTGGCGAACGGCGGAAAATTGCGTCGTAGATTTCATTTCCGAAGCGAAGCAGTACGCGATGCATACCAAGGAAATAAATCACGAGCAGACGTGGCGAGGTCAGCCTTATCTGAGACGACTTGTAGATCGGGCGTATTTTCAGGCGCCCTGCCAGTTTGGGGATTTGCGCAAGGCGCAGCGCCCGCATTTGGGGGCCAAATAGCTACCAACGAAATTAACTTCTTTTTCCGCAAGGGCTGAGTAACTGGCGGCATGTCTCAATTAGTTGCAGTAAGTGGGTGCAATGGGTGCGTCATAGAGCTTGTTGATGAAATCGCAGCGCCGGCGACAAAGGCAGCTGCAACGATGCGATCACCTTGGAGAGCGAGCATGCTGGGCGGCTGGATGGTCCAAATGGGTTCCCACACATGTACAGAAACTGTTTCCTGTTGATCCTGTCTCAAAAGTTGAGCATAGGCATGTGGGCGTATATGCGAGTGCCGTGGTAGAGGGCTTGTAAAGTCTCCTGGCACGCCCGCCAACCTGGCCCGGGGAAGGCAGACCCTCACGCCAAGGCACTAACATCGCAGTACCCACCAGACAGACGTGAAAGTCATCTAGCTGCAAGTAACCTCCATCATTCTACGATATAACATGAGAATATATCCCTCTGAGCGATAGGCGGTCTCATCCCGGATACGCAATGAAGTATATATTGACTTCACGCCGGCAGATAGCTAAGTTCGGCATAGCGCCGCGCACCCCGCTCCCCAGCAGGGCAGGTACCGAGCAAGGAGGTACAAAGGCTGATAGCACTTTATATTGTCTCTGGCAAGATGATTCGCTCGTAACACAGTCGTCACGCGACAGCCTGTAAACATAATGCGATGTCGCGGATGCAGACTTGCGGTTATCTGTCCCTGCGACAGCTACCTTATACATCCAACCCCCCTACTCTCGTCGCGTTGCGCAAATTAGCCACATGAGAAGCTAACATGGCCAATATCTGGACGACCCGTACAGTTCTTCTAACCGGCCTCGTCGTCTCCCTCCTCGGCGCCTTCTACATCTACCAGTCCCCCGCGCCCCTCAACTTCAGTATGCCGCATCCAAGTTCACGTGCGAACAGCATACCCGGGTTAGAGTTTACACTAAGCCAAATATCTCGTTCTCCGCCTATCCTGCTCGTTACGCTCAAAAACACGAGTCCAGATACTCCGTACACGATCCTGAAATGGAATACACCGCTTGACGCCTCAGCACTCAACACTGGCGTCTTCACTGTTACTGATGCAGAGAGTGGGGAGGAGGTGGAGCAGATTGTTCTGCAGGTTAATCGCAAGATGCCGCCGCCGCAAGGGTCACTTGTTACGATTGCACCTGGGACGGAAGAAGAGATCGAGGTTGTATTTGACAAGCCGTGGATGCCTGAGCGTAAGCCGGCGAAGTACAAGGTCCAAGCGAAAGGAATCTGGAAGGGTGTTTGGGGGAAGTATGGGGACGAAGTCACGAAGGAAGAGTTGTATGCTTACGCTGACAGCCCGTTCAGTGGATGGAGGTTTGCGACGGGTGAGATAGTCATGGAAGTGGAGTGAAGAGATCAAGACGATAATGTGGGTAAAGTGGCAAAGGATTTTACAGTATTTGATTCTTCCTGTAACGACAGAACTCATTCTGTTTTGACTAGCAGCCTGCTGATAGCCCGACCGCCCAGCAGCTGTTATGTACATTCTTTCTTCTCCATCGCATTCCTCTCGCACTTCAGCTTTATACGTGCAATATTCCCATAGTTCAGCCCAGCCAAACCATCATAGGATCTTGCACTGCAGCAATGTCTGCCACAGATACTGCTTAACGTCAGTACCCTATCATCATCGTATTTTCGAGTTCACATACCTTGCTTGGCTTGCCCATGCGTTCTCTTATCGAGATTCGTGACTTGTTTGACGATGTTGATGAGAAGGCCGATGAGCCGAAGGTTGATGAACCGTGAGATGATGTGCGTTCCATCTTGTGTGTGGCGACTAAGTATGCGCGTGTGTATGTGTTTGTGTGTTTGAAACCGTCAAAAAAAGGAAAGACGGCTCGATATGTCCAGCAGTAAGGAAAGTGGTATAAGAAGGAATGACTTGATGATACTCCCTCAACTTGACAGCGCAAACCCAGAATATATACTCAAGTACCTACCCAAACCTTGAGCCCAACTCGCCATCAAGTTTGGTTGATCGCCTCTCCCAGACTGCGCCGATCCTCACCTATCGTGTCGCGATACCAATCTACAACCCACCAGCACCAAAATTTCTCTGAACCTTAAACTCATTTCCAACACCCGGGTCAACAACCCACCCAATTGCGACCGCGACACCCGTCCAACGCGCCAACGGCATCACCCGCTAGAAACCGTATTTCGCGCCTTTCCGCCTCCACGCGAACGAAAAAGCAAAGAGGGACATGCAGATGGGGCCAGGGCCAGCACGTCTAGCTGAGAAATCTGAAACGCGGAGCATGGCGCGCCAACGGCCTACCCCGTCTGTAGTTCGGATTCGGTGCGAGGACCACAACGCGGTTTAGCTTGCATACATTTGGAGCATGCGAGAGTGGGGATATGCAGGTCTGTCTGGATGGAGAAATAGCTGGTGAGGAATAGTGGGGATGGAAATGTCCGCGGAGGGCGGAAGTTAATCATCAGGATCTTTGGTGATGCGTTGGGTTGCGACGACTCAGGCAGATGACCCACCGGCATAATTCTTGGTTGGGGGAAAACTTCGCACTTTGAGTGAGCATGTTTGTGTTATTGAAGAAGAGAGCGCGCCTTAAACTCAGACTTGGGTCTGCTCTTGGTTTGCGCTGATCGTTGGAGAGATACTGAGATGTGGTGTGCAGAAAAGTTGTGATAGCTTCGAGTAAAGACAAAAACGGTCCAGCACGTCCATCGCAGGCATGTCGAAGAAATGAGGCTACAATACCCCGACCCAGCCCCATCGAATGCCATCTCAATTCCCATCAAGCCCATAAGCTTGCAATACGCGTTTCGCGACGCCCTCCCCACTCCAATACGCCCCCGTCACCGTCCCCAATGCAACAAACGGCGCGCAATGTTCTCCCGCCAACCAAACACCGCGTTCAGGCATGCCTCTTCGTAACGTCTCCACATCTTCGTCACCCTTCTCAAGCCCTACCTGGAAATTGCAGTAGGAGCCGTACCCGGCGAGTTCGTCATTTGCCCAGGCTGTTGCTAGGATGGCTGTAGGGGTGCAGGAGGGGTCTTTGGGATTGTAGTTGGGGAGTTTGGTGTAGTAGGGTGCGAAGAAGGAGTCTAGGAGGGTGGTGTGCTTTGTTTGGGGATTAGAGGCGAGGAGTTGCGCGATGTGCAGGCTGGTCGGGCCAAAGGTGTAGAAGAGGAGGGTTGGGTGTGCTGAGCCTTCTGGTAAGGCGGCCAGGTTGACGGCTTCTTGGTCCCAGGATTCGGGGTTTGTTTCAGATGCATAGGTTGGATGTGTCCAGTGTGTGAAGCCTGGGTAGTGCGCTGGGTTGACTGGTGAGTCTGTGGCTTGGTGGATGGACGCCGTCGTTGCTGTTACGTTTGGTTTGCTGAGATCGCGGGACGCGGATGGCGAAGTTGAGTCATTGGTGATGGGCTCATTCCAGAAGGCTTTTGGGAAGCTGATGTACACCTTGTCTAGATGCCCGTACTCTAGACTTCCAACAGCCTCTGTCAGTCGTTTCGGTAACTCTGGAACGAAAGCCCCGAGATTACGCTTTAACCAGCCCAGTGGAGCTGTCATGATGACCTCGTCAAAGGTCATGCTTTGCCGACCTTCAACTTCGACGGTGACGCGTGTATCTTCGGTCTTATCCCCTGATATGATCCGCTGCACTTTATGCTCAAACAGCATCGTCGCGTGTCTCAGTGCCGGCTCAGCAATCTTCTTCAGTACCTTGTCGTAAGTGGATGCGACGAAGAGATTCTCCCCATCGATACACTCTTCAAGCCAGAAGAACTTTAGGCTTTGCCTCTGAACGGGCGATCCAACGAAGGCGCCCCACATCTCCGCCATTTGGAGGATTGTTTGCTGCTGCTTCTTTGCTTCATCATTCTTGTTGGGGAACATTTCTACGACCTGTTCTTGGAAGTAGTCATACAGGCTTTTCTCCGCTGGTATCGTCGCCGAAGTCTCGTTCGACAGCTTCATCGCTTGCTCAATGATGGTCCACACACGTTCGGTGTTCTTTGCCGCGTCTTTGCCCGACATGTGGTTTCCCTGGCTGTCGAAGACTGATTGACGACCATCCCAGTTCATGGTAGTGGTTTTGGTGTCTTTAGCCAAATCCAGTATAGGGTTGTCATCGGTGCCATGTATCCAATTCGGGCCACTGCCAACACAGTAAGTTCGTACAAGTTACATTGGAAGTGGCGAACTTACAGATCAACCCTGTGACCTAGCTCATCGCTTTGGCATAACTGACAGCTCGTTAGCCTACAAACAACCTGATGCAGCTGATTAGACATACCCTCCCACCAACCCGATTCCGCCCTTCCAGTATCGTAACTTTAACGCCCTGCTTCAGCAGCAAATCCGCACATCTCAATCCAGCGACACCAGCGCCGACAACGCAAACATGCGGCATCTTGCCCGCCGCCCTCCGTATCATGTTCGCCTCATCCATGTAGCCGTGATTGTGTGGCGAAGTAGACAGGTCTTTCGAAATTCGCGTCTGCCTCTCAGGCGTTGTTCTATCAATCGCGATGTCAGCCCTACGAACTGCATTCTCGTTGCCAATGTTTCCCATATTGATGGTGTGCGATCAAAAGTGATACGACTGTATTGAGAAAGGATGAACGCGACCAAGAATGAAGCGATTTGGAGTGGCCACGGCTATCTTCACAAGCAAGGCTGCCAATAGAGTTTCAGCGCAACGTTGGTCCGACAATGAAAGTACAATGTGGTTGCCGCGCTAGTGGCAATGCGAAGATCGTGCTGCAGAGTGTATGATGCTGGCTGCAACCCGATAGGACTAGAGAGAGGATAGGGAGAAGGTTTGGAAGAGGTGTTTTTGTTGGCGAGAAGGCTACTATAGAAAAGGTAGTCTGGGGGGCACAGTACCTTCAAGCGCGGATAGCCGTTCACGTACCTTGGGATCTTGTCCAGGCTGCAAGAGGAAGCGGCTCGTCAAAATCGGTCTTGTGACGGTTTCAAAAGCCAATACGTTGTCTAAGCAATGCCAACGTGATGCTATTATGTTGGAAGTGAGGCGTGTGATAAGATCGCTGTTGTACGCTGTCATGCACGTCAGATCGCGAACGGCAGGCGCGACGCTAACTTTAGTTAGTGCCACGAGGCCGAACCAGGCACATGATTGGACGAAATGGAAGATAAACTTGAGCTCAACGCTGTAGATTTCTATCCGAAAGGTACACTACGAGTATTGTCCTCGTACGTGGTGGCATATCATTGCCGTGGTATCATATCTCATCCATCATCCATTAAGATCGTCCATTCCTCTCCGCCTTGCCCCTATTTGTCCTTGGAGCCGATGTGAAGCTTGTTCTTCATCTTCTCCTTCAAGTGTGACATCTTTCCACCCTTCTCCTCGCCGCTTGGGGATGTAGTCAAATCGGCAGACTCGGACTTGCGACCTGAGTGCTCTCCAGTCATACCTGCGGCACCGTCAGTACTACCCCGACTTTGTCCGGGTTCCCGTGTCCACAAACCAGAGGCAGCGTTCTGTTTGGCAGCAGCCGCTTCGAAGTTGCTGCTGTCAGAAGGAACGCCTGTTGATGTCCACTCTGGAGTGTCGCGGTTCGCAGAGGCCTTCTCGGCATCAGTCTTAGTATTGGTATCAGCGCCACCCGCGTATGTGCTTGAAGCACCGGTCACAGAGTCGGGAGCAGTGGTCTTGATGGCGGGATCAGGGCTGGTAGTTGTGGTTGCCGTGGAACTAGGAGCCGCAGGAGTAACATCGCTGGGACCAGTAGGACCAGCACCTGGCGCACCTGAACGACTGATGTCGTCAAGTGGGGTGTCCTTCCAAAGCTTATCCGTTACTCCAGCCTTGTCCGTGATGCCAGTGGCCTCGGTTGTAGAGGAGGTAGCGCCAGTGTTTGACGTAGCAGCGTCGGGGTTGAGGGGGACGATTGGCATGCCAATGTAGGACGGGTCCTTGCTATCCGAGTAGATCTTGGGGTCGGTCGATTTTTCGGTCATGGTCTCGGTGGGTCCCTTGGTGGTAGGGTCGAGCTTCAGGAACTCATCTGTGCCAGAGGTCTTCTCGGCTGCCTTCTCGGTGGCCTTGGCTGTGCGATACATCAGTATTCTGTTCTACTAGCCGTCATTGTCGTATACTTACCATCGTTGCCCTGGTCAAAGGGCTCTGTTACAGTCCCCTTACCGAGCTCTCCAGAAACTGGCTCTTTGCCCGCAGTCTCGTTGTTCGAGTAGTCGAGGAAAGTTCCCTTATCAGCAGTTGCTAGAGGGGTCGCTGTGAAGCGGGGTCAGCATATGTCGTCCAATGCGCGCGTTGGAGGAGACTCACCAAGATTGCCCTGGTCGTAGGGCTGAGTGACGGTGCCCTGACCCTGCTCACCGGAGATAGGCTCCTTGCCGGCAGTTTCGTTGTTCTTGGTCTGGTCGACTGCCTCGTCCGCCTTGGTCTGGTCGCCGTAGATGAGCTTGGAGGCTGCGCCAGCAGCATTGCTTGCGAGGTTGGTGATGGTCTCCATTCTGACTGTGTTTTACAAAGGTCAATTGTAAGAGTAGAGAGGATGAAGTGGGGGAAACTGGGTATCGTGAGTATGCGCGGAGTCAAAGAGTCCGTGTTGGCGCGTTATGAAGGCAGGCACGCGGGCAGTGACGTAGGTTCCTGCCGTGCCTGCGTTTGTCCCTGTTCGACCCAGGATTAAGCCACAGCCAACATCAACACCAACGGAACAATCTACAGCGAGTGACGATGTGGGGCACAATTCAAGCGTATACCCTGATTTAACCTCAATGAAGCACGACAATGCCGCCAACATACCAATCAATCTCACGCACTGCAGCGGCCCGGAGCAGCGTCCAGGCGCTTTCAGTGGCTGGCTTGTGCGGGTATCTGGCTTTAGGTCAAGGCGTACCACCCTAGATCTTGGGCTTTTTAATTGTGATCAGCTTGCTGCCCATGCTGGAAGCTCGAGTCGGCCGCGCTGGTTGAAAGCGACGCGGCTGGGTTGACGTCATAGCTGACTGCAAACATGTCAAACGTAGGTCTTGGCGCGTTTTCGTGTGTGCCGCGACCATGGCCGGCGCCCTTCGCATGCAACTCTCTATGCAAGAGTTTCGACGTTTTCACATTGAAGACACACATTTCAGCGCGAATAGACGAACTGCCAGCCGACATCGCAATCTTGCCCCCATTGTAGTTCTGTCCTGCTAATCTTCCGTTTCAAATAGACCCCGAACGACCATTCCATCCGTCCACTCAATCTCCTCCATCTGCTCTGAGCGAACCGAGTCCCAGCCTCCATCAGGCGGTATACCGAAATGAAAAACAGTAACGCATCTCAATCTATCAACTGCGTATGGCCACTGGTCGGACTGCTCGCGCAAGATCTCGTCTATATCCCATAGCTCGGGCACGCCTGCCTCGAAACGCACCGGAACATCGCCGCGCACCACCGCCTTTATAACGTCGACGAAGTCATCGGCTATAGGAGTCATCCTCTGCATGGTCCCCCGGCGTGTCAGTTCTTCAGCGCCGTCCTGCCACATTGCAGCCTGTCGCATGGCATTGCAGAGAAGCTCACTGGCTCTCTCGTTAGGGCCATGTAAGACCAAGGAGAAAGAACCCGTTGGCAGTTCCATAATCCATGGTATACTTGCTTCGTGTATCCACGTTGCAACATCCCAGAGACAGCGCTCGACACCGTAGGAACGTTCGCGATTAGGGATAAGCACAGTCCCCCAGATGTCGACGCGTCGCTCTATCCGAAGTCTAGGATTCTCGAGCAAATATGGAATAAGCCCGCGTGCGTGGGTCTGGGAGAGTGCTAAGCTCGTGTGGCTCGTGTGGTTCTGGGAGATTCCTAAGCTCGCGTAATCTTCCTGAATAACAATTTTGCGCACTTGGGCGCGCTTTTTGGGCGTAAGGCGCTCAAGGAATTGAATGGCAGCTGCCGCTGCCGAGAAGTATCTTTTGAATCTCTTGACGCGACCATTATGGCGAGTCCCGAGTTCTGGTGCTTGTGGAACATATTTCGCGACCTTATCAAGGTCCTTTTTCTCCGGAATCCACCAATACGTGGGCCTCCACTCGATAATCTGGTATAGGGTGTCTCTCGTGTATACCGATGGCCGAGAGCGACTTCTGCCCTGGTCGTTGTCATTATCCTCGTCCTCGGATTCGTCCTCGTCATCCGTAACCGGGTCATAGTCCAATGGAGCACTCGTCTTGGCGGATGGATCGTACTCTCCCAAAACAAGGCGCTCGAACGCTGGATGCCTCGCAATAATCTGAATGAGATCCTGAAGTATAGCGTCTTTGATGAGATAATCCAATCTAGACACAGGGTAAAGGCGGCCTTCCTTCAAGCTCGCTCTACCCTCCCTGATAATCGTTTTCTCTAGCTCTTCCACTGCCGTGTTACCTGAATATCTCGATCGCAGCTCTCTCAAGGCTTCTCGTGTGACAAGGGGATATGCATATGACAACATAATCCGGAGACACATGTTGCGCCCTTCCAGGAGACTGCGGTAGAAAAAGGCTACAGAGCTTGAAGTCTCAGTGCCAGGAATCTGCGGAAGGACGCTGAATCGGAGCGTGTTCGATTCAAACGCCAAACCGTCTATCTCTTGAGCCACTCTTTTGCAGGTGTAGATCAACGCGACATCGATCTTCTGTCCGTTGGCGAGCCGAAACTTCTGGGCCGATGGATCGTAGATATACCCTTGCTCTTGATGCGTGTAGTACTCATAGATTTTATCCCGCAGCTCTCGTGGCAGCTGGAATAGTAGAGACTGATGTTGATTGTTCATGCTGGGTCCGTCACCATGACGACGAAGAGGGTCTGCGATGTTGGAAGTCTGCATTGAGAGCATGAAGGCAAGCGAACGGTATCGCAAAGGCCTCCGAATCATGTTGAAGCACTATCATTCGGGCAGGGTGGAGGTTTTTGTGTGAGGAAACGCGCAAGTTGGTACGTGTCAGACTGATCAAGGGCGCCGCGGAGGATGTAAGGTGGCGGCGTAGCATGATTTCGTTGAGCATGCACAGTACGACTCATGTAGCAGGTCATTGGCTCGTTTGATCTGATAGCGGAACTTGTAACCGGCGGGTTATTGTCAGGTTGCCAGAGTTATCAGTAAAAGGCGTAGCAAAAGTTACAACATTACTGCATTACTCGGTCTACATAATGGCATGTAGTTTCTACGACGGCGCAGTATACTCGTCATCAGTAGTGCCACGCTACAGCGACTCCTTCCCAGCCAAACGTCTCCACCCGTTCACTCAGTCTGCCTAACCCTCCCTCTCCTTGTACGCTTCGCGCGCCGCGTGCCAGCCCCCCTCCGGCTCCTCGAAATCCTGAAGACGAAAGACATCGCTGACCTTGCTGGGCCAGTCTCCCGCATGCTCGCTTAGAATCTTCTCAATGTCCCACACCTCATCCATCTCTGCATCGAACCTCGCTGGTATCTCCCCGCGCAGCATCTCCTTGATCACGTCCACGAAGTCTTCGGTTATACCTTGAAAGGGGTGGAACTGACGCTGCTCTCGCCGAGCAAGTTCAACAGTGCCCTCTAGCCATATCGCTGCTCTGGTGATGGCATCGCTGAGTTGCTGGCTTGCTGCTTCGGATGGACCGTGGAGGACTAATGTGAAGCAGCCGGCAGGCATACCCATTTGATATAAGATCTTGACCTCATTGATCCAAGTCGCAATCATCTTTACTATCACTTTCGTATGATGGGCGAAATAGTTGCTCCGGTACACGAACTCGGTAGGCCACACATTGACCCTACGCTCTATTCGGACTTTTGGGTTCGCCTGGCAGAACGATATCAGGCCCTGCGCGTGTGTTTTCGAAGATGCTACACTTGGATGGTCTTCCTGGATTACGATCTTGCGAAGCTGCTCCCGGGGTTTTGGAGCAAGCTCTTCGAGAAAGCGGATTGCGACTGCTGCAGCAGAAAAATACATATTCGGTACGTATTCGTGCTCAGGAACTGGATCGGCAATCGCTGTTGGCCATGGAGGTAGAAACTCCGATATCGCTTCGAGCTCGGCATGATTGGGTATTGACCACAGCTGGGGCCTCCACTGCAATATCCTTGTTTGCGTGTCTTTCGAATAGGAAGGTGGCCTGATGAAGGATGATGAATTCGAGGAAGAGCCGTCGCTACCGCTGTCATTGCTGAATACCTCGTCGTCATCGCTGTCATCATCATCATCATCGTTGTTGTTGCTATCGTCGTCATCGTCGTCATCGTCGCTTTCCGTCGCCCTTCGTAATTCGAGGTCGTACTCTTTCGATGTGAGATAGTAGAAATCGGATTGGGTCGCCATTACTGTTGCAAGGTCTGCCAAGATATATCCGCTGTTGTAGTAGTCTAGTAACCACACTGTGAATAAGAAGCCGTCTTGCAAACCCATGTTGCCCTCCTCTCGGACCATCTCCATCATCCTTTGTACCGCAAGGCTGTTCGGGTATAGCGACTTTAGGGTAAGCATGACTTCAACCGAGACGGTTGTATACGCCCACTTCAACATGTGTCGCAGCCGATTTCGATGGTATCTGAGAAGCTGCTCAAACAAGGACGCGTTCGACGGCTGACCTACAGCACGTGACGGTGCGAAAGTCGTGCGGAATTCGACGATGTTTGCTGCTAGTGCCATCCCGTCCATCTCTTTCGCTACTCGCTTGCATGTGTATTGCAAACTGATATTGACATAGCCCCCGTCATTCGATTGAAGCAATGCCGCAGCGGCATCATGGATGTATCCGCCTTCTTCGCACACGTAATGATGATACACCTTGTCGCGCAGCTCTCTCGGGAGTCGGAAGAACAGCGACTGGTGTTGGTCCATGGTGAAGGTGCTTTTCAATGGTTTGTGGTATGGAATAGTATGAGCGCGCTATCATATATACCAGATGTATAATATGAGGGTGCGCAGGAGCCATGTGTCCCATGGTAATGGAAGGGCGTTAGCGAAAAGCGGAGGGCGCAGATGCACCAAGGTTTTCTCGGTTCCGAACCAATGAACTCAGTCAGATCAAAGAAGACTCTCACCAACGCAAAATGCCCGAAAAGTTAACGATTGAAGAGGAAGATTGGCGACCGATCACGATGAGATGGATGTTGAGTTTCACAAAAAAGGGTCTATTTGATTGTGAACATTGTATGTAAGGAAAAGTGGTTTTGTTCTTTAAGAAGAGGTGGTGAGCGCGCGATTGTAGCAGCTGCAAACGGGACGGAAAGCGTGAGTGTAGCGAGTGTGAGTCAAGTAGCCAGGACGCAGTAGATATCTTTCAAGGAGTTAGCGAAGCGATCTCGTGCGCACGATGCATGTCGACGACGTACTCTGAGTTGATTTGAGTCATGTGTGTATTGTTGGAGCGTGGTAGCCAAAGGGCTGAAGAGGGAGAAAGGGCTGAGAGAGCAGTCTGGTTGCGAGAGAGTGGTAGCGAAGAAGCTTGAGGACGTTAGTCGATGGATCGACAGATGAGGGATGTTGGGGCGACTTACCGCACAGCGCATTCATAAGAACTTCAATCTGAGAAGCATTCCTGCGCAAGTTTAGCGAAGGCGCCAGATGTCAGTCATGTAGTCGCCACTCACTGTATCAAACATTCTCCAAATCCCCGAACATTCGAAAGCATCAACGAACTGCGAAGGCGTTGTCAGCGACATGAAACAACATGTGATCGCCAGTCAGGTGGACTTACATGACGCCTCCTCCTGTCCTAGGACCAGTCACAACTGGTAAGTATTCCATGGTATGTGCGTGTGTGTGTAGCAGCTGATTGTGTGTAGATCTGGAAAGCTACCCGACATGGATCTTGGGAGTTGTAAGTGTGTGTTGCACAGTCATTATTGATGAGGCATCGCGTACCGTGAACAAGGTGGACTTCGAGTCTCCAAGCGCGGAGACAATCGCGTATAGAAAGGCGGCCAAGGTCGCCAAGAACAACAAGAAGGCGACCAGCGCGTCAAAGCTGGAGTCGCAGCAACAGCTCACTGCGATGTGCATTAGTAGGAATATACCAATTCGCACAAGGCGTACACATACGTCTGTTCAGGCAGTTCTTCAAGGACATGAAGAAGCAAGCAGGTATGTGGCGGGTGTGTGGCGGGTGTGTGTGTGTGTATGCGTGTGTGTGGCTGCGCGGCGCAGGCTGACGGCTGATAGAAGGGTTAGTTGAGATGCACTCATAGAGACCGCGAAGAGATACATACAAGACAGGCAAGCTGAGAGGCGCTGAGAATGCGTTCATGAAGCAGCAGGATGATCTGATGAAGGCGTTGATTGTTCAGGTTGGCCAGCAGGAGATAGGTGATGCTGGGCTGGAATTCATAGAGGCGCTGAAGGCGTGGCTGAAGAAGTGATATCAGCGTTTGTTGAGCGGCGGGTCTGAATCTGACTTACGACGATCTGGAGAAGTATTTCCTTCTCGCTTGAGCAGCACCTGCTGAGAAGTTGAGTTAGTCCATGCGCAATCCAAGAGACGAACAGCGGGACGGGAATGATCTCCAAGGAAGATGGATTGTGGAGGAGGATGTGGAGGAGGTTGTGAAGGCCGGGAGGCGAAAGGAAGGCGGGACGTACTGAGGCGCGCGGTGCGATGTATCGGTCGAGTCTTGTATCGGTATGGGTCTGGGGAAGCGTCAGCGCAGCTCTCGTAGGCAACGGCGGGGTGTCCTCACATTCGTGTGGCGGGGTAGCAGGCGGTGATGGTGATCTGGTGAAAACGCGTCAGAGCTGGTTGAAACGTTCGGCGGAGGGTACTGACAGTATCGCGATGTTGCTGGCGACGGCATTTCCGCGAGGGTACTGTGTATCGGTCAGGTATGCTGGTCGGGTCGAGGAGCGCGCGCGCGGTGGAGGTCAACTTACGCCGAATGCGAAGCTGTGTTTGGCATGTCACTGCGACTGGTCAGTAAAGAGCCTGGAGGGTGTCGCGGGAAGCCGAGACTCACGTGTGTGCGTGCAATGTGATGTGATGCGTGTAGTGTAGACTGTGACAATTGTGAGCGGCGCGTCGAGGCAGCGTAGCGAGAGGAAAGACTGACGCGATTGGGCATTGCGCGGTGCGTGAGGTGGCGCGTGTAGGTGGGCGTGTAGGTGTAGGTGGGCGTGTAGGTGTAGGTGTATCGTGAAGGTGCTGGCTCTGCTATCGTTTAGCAGTTGTTCAATGCCTCGAATTGGCGGGTGTACTCACGGGCAGCTGCCTGAGGCGGCGGGCGCCTAAGGCGCCGCGCGGCCTTGGCGGGCTCAAGGGCTGCGTCACTTCACAAAGTTAGCTAAAGCAAACGCCGTCGAAGACGAGAGCTTGGGAAATCCTTACAGCGGGCGTACGCGGGTGGGTTGTCCTGACTCAGACTGGAGGGTCTGGGTCGAGGGCCCGTAGGTAATGCAGCAACCAGTTGTCGACAACGATACCGAGGTTCTTCGTCGCCCATTTGGCTGCTATGGCTGCATCGTGGGTGAGCCAGCGATAGAAGTTGTCGTGGCCGGTTTCGGCGATGAGTTGCTGGCGGGCGTCGTGCAGTAACGGGCATTGGCAGAAAACATGGAAGACAGTCTGTCTTTGGGCTGTACAACGGCATCCGGGGTGATAGGCAGATCTAACCATGTACAAGTAAGCGGCGACTTGCACACATTCGATCTTCAGCCTGACGAGGTTGACGGCTTCTGCGCGTGAAAGGCCTTTGTGTGCTGCAAAGACATCGGTGTTCCACTTCTCCATGAACGTTGCGGGAGGTCGGGATTTGTGAGCTGCACACGCGGCATCCCAACGTTCTCTCATGATAGTGTCCGCCTTCTTGATACCCATGTTCTTGAGCTCGGCATTCACTTCGTCGGCATGCAACTGTATCGCACGGGCGGCATGAAGCTCCATCGTAAGTGCGGGGTCTTGTTGTTGAGAGTCCAGAACGAGTTGATTGGCATCGAACTGTATCGTACGCGTGGGGTCTTGTTGTTGTCGACGGTTCAGAACGTTTTGATCGGCGCGGGCAGCAGCATCGAGCGCCTGCGTCCATCGGGGAAAAAATGGATCGTGGAACAACCTGCGGCGACCCATGTCGAAAATGGAGTTGTGACTCTCCGCCTTCTCGCAGACGTGTTGATGAGCGGCCCGGATAGTGTGCCATACGGGCTTCGTTGTTGTCTTGGCCAGAGTCGTGTCCCGTAACCTCTCAAGGTCCACGAGGATGGCTGTAGTATGTAGCTCCTTCTGCAAAGCATCGATGTTTGCACCAGAATACGCATCTGCGATGATGCGCAAAAAGGTGTTGGCTGTTGTTCGTAGGTAGTTTTGATGCTCCTTGAGGAGTAGGTCAGGGTGAAACCAGACGGCATTGGCGTATGCGATGGTAGTGAAGACAACGCCTTTGTACAGTTGTGCGCCAATTTGCATTGGCGGACCAGACTGAGACGAGAAAAGCCGCCTAAACGTTCGCCGGAGGGGGGCGACCTTTTTCTGTTCAATCTGTCGTTGTTCAGCGTGAGTCCTTCCGTGAGGGGATACTTCAATACGTACATAAGCCATGTGTGGTCCCCACTTCAACTCAGGATCAAGCATCACTCCCAACAGCTTCAACTGCTCGCCGAAGTCCTCGCCCGCTTCGAAGCCAGGAATGGGTGGAACCTCTCTCCACGCCTTTGATTGGTGATCTTTGAGTACTCGTGAAAAATGCATGCAGTCAAACTTTTTCGGGTTGAACTCCATGTTGTGGTCCTTGGCCCATGCTGCACATAGTTCGAAATCGCGTGAGAGTCCTGCTGAGGTCTCAATGAGGGACTGATGCACCCTCATGATTGCGATGTCGTCAGAGAAAGCGACTTGGTGTCTCGAGCCTTTTCCTTCGATCGGTTTGGCAAGGTCCTCAAGAAGTGGCGCCGTGTAGAAGAGGAACAGGAGCGGAGAAAGAGGGCTTCCTTGTGGGATCCCGATGTTGACAGAGTAGGTGCGGTCGGCGCTCTGCCCAGGCATCCTGATGGTGGTTGTGCGATCGGACAGGAATGAGCGGAGGAGGACGATGAGACAGCGGGGAACACCCCTCTGTTCGAGGATCTCAAGTAAACGCGATCGATTCACCCTGTCGAACGCCTTCGTCATGTCAAGACTGAGGAGTGTGACTACCTTTCCATTGGCCCAAGCTGCGCGTATGATCGTCTCGACGTACAGGAGAGCATCAGTTGTTGTGCGGCCCTTGAAAGCCATCTGCTCCGGTGGTATCATGTTGTACTTCAGAGCGACGTCGGTCAGCATGTTGGCGATGGCCTTCTCGAACAGTTTTCCGATGGCGCACAAAAGCGCAATCGGCCTCCAGTTCTTTGGAATCGTGTACGGCCCGTTGAGCTTTCGAAGGATGACTGTGGTCGCATGCTTGAACCGTTGAGGATGATGACAATGTCTTAGGCAAGCATTGACTAGTGTTGAAGTTAGTAGTGTTATTTGTGAGGTCATCACGAAAGATTATGCTTACAAAATCGCAGCAAATGCGGCACAAGCTCCAAGCGACAGATCTTCAGCAAGGAATTAGAGACCCCGCCTTCGACTACCGCTTTCTTCCCGGGCATGTTTCGTATGAGCTGGTCGACGTCGTCATACGTGAGCGGGTTGCAGGACGGCAGGTCGTCACGATCGCATTCGAACGGAAGGTCGGGTACTGTGCGTTGGGTGTCTTGGTCAACTGGCACGAGTAGCAAGGCTTCAGCGAGACAGTCACTCTTGGCTTCGACAGTGGTGTGTACGATGTTGGCGTCCTTTGGATCGATGATATCCGGCATCTGTGTTGGGTCTCGTACTCGCTCTCGGCTCTTAGCCCAGTGATACTTCTTGTAAGCGCCCGCTAGGTTGTCGGTTGACGTGTTGATGTGATCATGCCACTTGAGCTCTTTCTCAAGATCCCGAAGCTCGTTGGCTATGCAGTCGGCATCCTGAGCTTTCTCAAGATAATCGGGTGTTCGAAATACGTGGTGCTCTGCCGCAAGACGTTGCGCCTCAGCGAAAGCATCCTGAGTCATCGGTGACATGTCGTTGAGACGGCGTTGGGTTGACTTGTAAGTCGGGACGGTCTTGTCGACCTCGTTGAGTGCGCTGATGAGTAGATTCAGCCACTCATCGCGCTGGGCGTTGGTATCCAAAGGAGTTTGCGCGATAGCTTGGAGCAGCTGCTTCAGTTGAGCGCGTAGTGCCGGCTCATTTGCTTTGGAATAGTCTCGCTTCTCCGAGAGATCTCGATCCGGGGAAATTTCCAAATCCACTTGAATGATGAAGTGATCGGCCCCCTTGATTGGAATGTCATTGCAAACTCGTGTGGTGCATCGTTTGGCCAATTCTAAGCTCGGCAGTCAGTAAGAAGTACTATCAGTTTGGGATAAGATCAACGTACCCTTTGTGGCAAACGCCATATCGATCGAGCTCCATCTGTTCTTGTCATGGAGTGCCATCTCGTAGGTCCTAGCACAGGTCTCCGTAAGGAGCCGCAACTCCAGCTCGTCCCGAAAGGCGTCTGCGAGCGCGCGGGACTGTGGATTCTGCTTCTTCCTTGCACGCCTGCCGCCCCACCATGTGTGATGAAGATTGAAGTCGCCAACCATGAGATGCTGGCCCGGTCCCGACATCATATTCCTGAGAGTCTCAATCGGTATTTGCGTAGCGTTGACGTTGTAGATACAATGGATGTGCACCGTGTCGAACCTAGTGACGATCGAAAGGGTGGACCTCCAATGGTCAAGCGGGTGCACCTGGTAAGCGGAAACTGCGAGGTCCCTCCGCACGTAGATCGCTACCCGATCTGAGGAACCAGGATTCATCGGAAGACAAAAGGCCCCCAAATTCATTTGCGGCTTCAACTTGTTGTTCTTGGTGTCTTTACGCGCCTGCGCTCCAGAGGCGTTCGACGGGTTGGGTGGACCGTTGCATGTCTCAATGACTCGTCCTGTGTTGTTGCATATGTCTTGAAGCAAAAGAATATCCACGTTATGACCATTAGCTATGTCCAAGACATACTTCTGAACCTTGTCACTATTGCGGCAGTTCAGGCTCCATACTCGAAGGGTGTGGCTCTTCATTGGGAGGGGACTGTGGGGTTCGTGTAAGGGTCCGCCGCGTCGGCATACTGCTCAGCGTCGTCATATCCGTCCTGGTATGAAAGCCTTGCGTGGTCGAAATCGGTGGCTGCGTTATCTTCCAGCTGTCTGAAGCCTCTCGCATCCGTCACTCGGGAAACATATACACCGGTAGGATAGCCTGGAGACCTTCCCATTGTCGCGTTCAGCTTGCGACCTTCAGGGCTGCTGAAAAGGGCAAGAAGGGCTGCATCGTCGTAGCTTGGTGTTGGAGTCTCGGGCAATGGCGATTCGACGGTTGGTAGGGGTGCAGATTGTCCGCGAAGAGCTGAAGTTGGTGTACCTCTAGGTGCATTGGAGGCCAGCGTACCGAAGCCATCTGGAAAGGTTTGCTGCTGCCTGGGTGTGCGAGATGTTCCTCCAGACGATGCAGCGGCACTAGTGACTAGGCGTGAGCCTCCAAAGACAACAGGGCGATCACGTGTATTGCGTTGGGCGTATTGCTCTTCCAGTGGGCTGCGCTGACGCGGTGTCGACGATCGCTGTGAAGCAGCAGAGCTTGGCTGTGGATGACTGTCTATCATCATGGAGTCCACCACAGAGGGAACACTGGCTGTGGTCATCGCAGCAGGGCCAGAGGCTCCTGCAAACAAGCGCATCGATCCTGGTGATCGATTTTCTCGCGGGGGGCTGTTGGCGAGCTTGCGCTTCTTTGATGGAGATCCAGTCGCGGAAAAAGAGGGTCCGACTAGTGGTAAATTCGAAGCAGCGGGCAAACGTGGAATGGCGGTCCCCATAGCGGGACCAGGTGCGTTCGTGGTGGTGACGACTCCGATAGTAGTTGACTTTGCGGGTGCGAGTGTAGGTGCGGGTGCGGGTGCGGGTGCGGGTGCGGGTGCGGGTGCGGGTGCGGGTGCGGATGCAGGTGCAGGCGCGGGAGCGGATGCAGATGCAGGTGCAGATGTAGATGTGGGTGTGGCTGGCGCTGGGGCTGGCGCGCTCTACGGGTGGGTTAGTACGCTGATGGAGACATTCATGTAGCCAAGACATGTTAACTTACAGCCGCATCGAAATTGAAATCGATGTCGTTGACAGAAGGCGCTCGCCAAGCCGTCGGTTGCGGTGAGTGGTTCACCCGAGCCAAATACGGCCAGAGAGACCTCTGCTGGGGTTCGGCTTGGCTTGGAGCAGTCCCCGCGGTGTCGCCCGCCGAGTCCAGTGGTGCAGGTGGCTCGGCAGGTGCAGCGTCGGTACCTGGGGTGGTGGTGGAAGCAGCGGGCTTCTGAGCGCGCGCGGCAGTAGCGGGAGCAGCTGGTTTCCCTCTACCACGGCTTCGAACTGTTGTCCAGCCATCGCGATCCATACGCTGACGCCGGGACTTGTACCAGCGGACCCCTTTACTTCTCTTGGCCTCACGCTTGTTGCGCTCTGCGACCACGTGCGGATCTTGACAGCGGCTGTCAGTACTGCAATGATTCTTCTTGCAGTGAATGCACTTCTTCCTCGTTGGATCACCTAGATGTAGGCGTAGGAAGTCAGTGATCGTTCCACATGCGATTTGTTAATGAGAATTACTTACCATATACCGGACAGGTATCTGGACCATGTGCATCACTACACCACGGACAGACACGTGGCGTTCCTGCCGCTTGGCACTCGGCTGAGGTGTGATTGGCATCCTTCTGGCACCAGTGGCACTGGAAACGGTCCCATCGTCGATCCCATGCTTCGATGTTGGTATACTTCTTATCGTCAAGGATAACATGGCCTTGATCCAGCAGCTTGAAAGCCTGATTCTTGTCGTTGAGCTCCAGCCTGACCGAATTGCCGTAGTACGTGGCGCGCCTGAATGTGACTTCGTTCATATTGGACCAATGAGGGAGCTTGCCCTGTAGGTCAATCTTGCCACCTTTCCTGTACCCTAGCCGGACTCCAAAGACCTTGATCTCGTAGACGTCTTGGTGTAGCTTGACCGACTGTTTCAACCCGAGTCTGGTGGTTAGGGAAGTGAATCCCAGTGGCTGGCTTGTCGACTTGACTAAGGCTTCCTTCTTTGCTTCGTCTTCAAAGAAGACTTCGAGGATCTTCGAAGAGCCATGCTCCCAATGGGCGACGCTTGCAACCTCGCTCCAAGCCCCCTTGATGTCTTGCAGCTGCTTCTTGGCCTTGGTAGGAGCCCTTTCGAGTCCAACCCAATCTTCATCATGGATAATGATACGAACAGAATGAGGGTCATCGTCGGCGAGGGGGGTGGGACCGGTCGCAATCGGCTTGGGGGCGTCTTCCCTGTCAAGCTGGGATCGAAAGTGGCCCAGCAACTCAAGTACTGCGTCGTGACACGACGGCAGAGGGGTTTGGAAAGCTTGCCATTCTTCCTGAGTCTCGCGAAGCTTGATCAGCATCTGAGAAGGGTCGGCTGCTGTGGTAGCATTGTTCTCGCAGGCAGACACTAGGGACTCGAGGTTCCTAGTCACAGCCTCTCGACGACGACCAGCTTGGATGCGAAGCCGCTCGTCCTCGCCCGGCGGTCTCTTGCAGCATCCATTGCCGTCACAAGACATTGCTGCTGAAGTAGAAGACGACAGGGTGAGGTAGCAGTGGATGGCGGACTGAAGCTGCAAAGATAACTGCAACGTCATGAGTTACTGTGACATTATAGGTGGAGTAAATGCATACCTTTGGGAGTCGCGGGGAGAAATCTCGAAAATGCAGCGCAGGAGGTCACTCGTAGACGGTGCGAGAAGTGAGGGAATACGTGATCTTGGGCGAACAGTCTGGCAACCCTTGGATTGCGGGGAGTCGAAGACGGCAAAGGCGCACTCAAAGCCACGGGCAAAACGTAGTGTTTGAATGGGTAGGATGGAAAGAGAGGAAGACGGATGATATGTTGCTGGTCTTGTAAATGCCGATGAGGAAGATGTTGTAGGTAGTCGAGCGAACAAAGAGGAGCACTAATAACGATGTAGGGATAGTGGGCATGAAGGTATGAGTGGTATCTATAAGGGGTGAGTTGACAACAAGAGAGCTCGCTGCCGCACGAAAACAACCAGATTCGGACGAGGCATTTTCTGGATGAATGCCTTACGACTCGTATACAGTCAGGCCGAAGATAGTCTCGATGGTTTACCACGCATCAGGATCGTTCCAGTAGCCTGGCCCGTACATCTCGAAATGAGCATCTCATGGCAGACTCGGCGACGACAACATGTGGACACTCTACTAGACTCTAAAGCGTAAAATGAATAGGCAATCAACAAGTTCACTCCGACATCAAAGAACATCTAGACCTCAGCCGGGCATCGTGTGAGAGAAAGGTGGGGCGAACTCCCGGCGACATGTAACCTTGGAAGTTAACGATTTTCCCTAGCGGCGGAATTAAGAGCCGCACAACGATATCAAGCCATGGAATGCAAACCCTGAAATGGTAGCTTGAATTCAACACCAGGGAACTGCCGGAGGGTGCGATGTGGGGGTCGATGAGATTGTCCATGGGTCGTGCACGCGGGCTGGTTCCTGGCGCTGGACCCTTCCAGGGTAAAACGGCTTTGCCGCTGTGGACCTCGTGTCCAAAGAGAGGCCTGTGCCTACACCCACCTAGGTATGATTAGCGCAACGAACCTTTGGCGTACAGTCCGTGCAACGTGGATGCATGTTCTCTGCTCGGCCGTAGGATAGCTTCGGCAGAGAGAACAATTGACTTCCAATACTCCCAGGGCTAGGCGTGGTTCCGCATACCTGACCTCCTATGTCAATTACGAGAACTCTATACCTAGGTAGGCAATTGATACACTCAAAAGCCCCATGCGCTTCTGCGTTTAGTGGGCGCTCATTACATTGCCCTCCTGAGGTTGCCTTTCAAAGTTACTTCCAAGGCTAGATACGCACTTGCGGTACGGGCTTAACGGGCCTGTTGGATAGCCTAGTTGGATCCGGTTACCGGCTTGAGGCATTACTTGCAATTGCAATGAATCTCTCGGATCGTGCGTTCCTAAAGTCGGGCGAGATGGAGTCTGACCGACCGTTCAAGCCAGCTGGAGCGTGCTCGGGTGGCTTTCTTGACGGCACCAACACTACACACTGGCGTCTAATATCGAACGTACCAGGATTAAACATACAAGCTCAGTTGATTCAATACATCGGACGGTCAATCACGGTCATTGTTAGATTGGCCGCGGCAGATAAGTGTAAGTGCGTTGCAGAGACCCACAATGTGCTAAACAACTTTCAAGATGTGACGATCCGCCAACCACTCTGATCGCTGACTATATCGGAGATGAGATGTTCAAGGCTCATGGCTCCATGATTACGAGGTTGTATCGACCGTAATAGGCCCCAGAGAAGGGCCTCGAGCGGCTGATGGCGCTATTTGCAGTCGCCGACATGACTTACGGCGATTATCTCCAGGTCGAAAACAGCTAGGAAGACGAAAAGTGTGATACTCAACAGTTTCAAGACCTGAATCAATAGCAACAGTCCTAGTTCAGTCCGTATGGCGGCAAGAAAGCAGCTTCACCATCCGCTACATCCGGCATATGCCAAGCCGGCATTGTCGTGGTAACATCCATCAGTGTTTGACTATGAACGTGCTTGTAGGAGTGCTTCATCTTCATATTGAGGTACTTAAGAAGGTTGATGAGCACTGTATATCAAGAACACATCGAATTTTGTTCTACCACTCTAGTTACCCTTTCAGTGATCGACACAGTCGCTCCATCTCGAGTGTTACGACAGCCCGATTTCCGTCGACACTTTCATCCCCATCGTCACTTCTTCTACGTTTTACACCGACCAACGCCCTCCATCCCTATCCCCTGCTTCTGGCACACATCATGTCAAAACGAGCCCAAGCCCAGAATTCCATCATTGTTCGGCAACGTATGCAGGAGCAGGCCAAGTTCGACGAAGCACAAGTTGCTGCTGTGGCCAGAGCGCGCATAAACGAACAGAAGATCAAGAACATGATGCAGCGTGTTGTTGAGCAAGATCGCATCATCCAGGGGCTGCAAAAGCCGCAACCTGCTACCGCAAGTCCGCAAGCGAACTCCGTCATCGGACACACGCAAGCTGTCATGCCGGTATCGAATGGTTCATCTGCCATGACGACTTCAGCAGTGAACTACCAAGGCCTACTACCATCACAAGTCATGTACGTACCTACCATTCCCAATGCTAACAGGGCTACCAGACAACCCAAGGCTCGCTATCCGGAGAAGGCGCCCCACCCTATTCCAGTGCGTGCCCCCGGTACGCATCCTCGGGATGAGTACGTCTTCGATTTCGGTATATTCAAGCATTGGTACTTTACGGAAGCCCCCGAGTACTATATCAGTAGTATTGGCGGGATGAAAAGTGTTGTCGGAACTGGCAACCATCCTGGCTTGTATGATGCATTCAGACGCTATAGGCCCGACCTGCTGTACGACCGACAGCCTTCAGCTACCCAGGCACATCAGCCTGTACCTACCCAGGTGCATCAGCCTGTACCTACCCAGGCGCATCAGCCTGTCCCTACCCAGGTGCATCAGCCTGTCCCTACCCAGGTGCATCAGCCTGTATCTTCCCAGGTATATCAGTACTACCCAGTTCAGGCATCTCAAGAACCGGCTGTGAGCGGTGCAACCGTGAACCTCCCAAACACGAGCAACACACCGGCAAGCGACACGAAGACGACCGACGAGGCGGCGCAGCCCAACACCACTCCTCACATCACTATGGCAATGTTAGATCGTGCGGGTTGGACCGTGTCGAAGCTGTTGAGCAAGGGTGTGACACTGCGGAAGATGTTGAGGATGGGTTTGACTGTGTCAGACCTGTTGAAGAGCAATGTGACTCTATCAGACATGGTAGACGCTGACGTGAACTTTGACGATATCATGGCAGCCGGTATATCCTTCGAAACGATAGTGCACTGCAAGGATCACCTCTGTCCGGACGATAGTGACTCTTCATGCGCCAGCTCTTCTGCATCCACCAGTCCTTCATCATCGGGCCCAGCATTCTCCACTCCCCCTTACGGTCACACGTCCACGATACCTAGTTCTCCTTCTTCGGCGCCCGACTCCTCACCACTCACAAGGAAGAAGGCGCCGTTAGACATTCCCCTTTATTACGCGACTCACGGCCTTGGCCGCCACAGGCCGAAGTCAGTGCCACCCAAGATCAAGATAGAGAAGGATGACAGCACTTCGGCAAAGAAGACCAGGGGAAGGCCCAAGGGCAGCAAGAACAAAGGCAAGGGCAAGGCGCCAGTCTCAACAGTTGAAGCGGTTCCTGAAGTAAGTCGATTTACCTCCTCTCTGCACCAAAATATAGCTGACGAACGCCGCACCAGACTCCCACGAACCCCGAGAAGCGAAAGCGTGGACGGCCATGCAAGAACCCACTACCAGAGGTTGCCGAATCGTCCTCGAAGAGACAGAAGACGATAGTCGACTTCATGAAGAACACTCCGGAGACACGGAGAATCCCGGCGGCCTTATGCGTTGTGGACCAGCCGGTCGTATGGGACGGCGAGACATGGATAGCTTACATTGACCTCACTTCTCCGAAGAAGTAGGACAAGGGTATTGGGACGGCTGTGGAGCAGTCAACGGTATCAGCGGAGGAAAGGGAAGTGGATATGAAGGTCCAACGGTTGTGATGGTGGATGATTGGCCTGAGGGCAAGATGGAAAGTGGAGGATCATTGTTTTTGGTTGGCGTTCGGAGGGCCTTTCTGTTTTCTCCTCGACGGAATTTCCTTATGTTTTTGGGACGCACCTGCCCACCACACACGCAATACAACGCCTTTTCATTGCCACATCTGCTCCTTTTGATTGCGCAAGCTTGTTGTGTGACTTGAGAACGGCGATGAATGGAGAGTTGGAAGACACACAGTTGGTGCAAACATGCCGGATTATCGGTAGAGAAGGTGGTTGCGCATATGACCAATAGTACTGCTGATGCCCCCGGTAACGAGCGACTCACAACTTCCGAAACCCATCCGTACCCATCCGATCAGGCTCTCTTGATAAGAAAGAAGAGTATCGTCAACACGAAAGCTTGCGCATGTGAGACATACCAATCCGTGGCAACTGAAGACGTTGAAACACTACTTGTTAAGAAGGCTAGGGTGAACAGACGAAGCTCACAGCGAGTCTCAACTGCACACGTCCACTGACCATCGAATAGCATCGCCCTACGAATAGGGTCTCTGCGAATCCATTCTCTGGTCGCTGGTCTCTATCACTCATCCTCGATAAAAAGACCGCAGCCTTCCATTCATTTTGCCTAGTCCTCCTCTTCAAGTGACAATTCGTGCCCAGCGTGCCTAGTCGCAGTCTTCACATATACATCTTCGCTGAGTGCAGGCCATTCGCCAACATGGTCGTCCAGGAGCTGGTTGATATCCCATACATGTCCCATATCGGCCTCAATTCTTGCAGGAAGCTCACCTGTAACCATCTTCTTAACACCATCCGCAAAGCCTCTACGCATCGGGTAGACGACATAATCGGAGCTGGGACCTAATCTATGCTCGAGTACAGTGCAGCCCTCGTCCCAAATGGCAAGCTTGATGAGAAGGTCGCTCAGCCGTTGGCTCGCTCGAGGTGTGGGCCCGTGAAGAACCAAGCGAAAGGAATCGGGTGGCATCCCAAGCCTCTTGAGGAACTTGGTTTCAACGAACCAGAGCGCAATTTCCTCGATTCCGTCTTCTAAACCCATGCGCTCGGACAAGAAGTGCTGGTGAAATACGTCTACTCTCCTCTCAATCCGAAGCTTGAGGTTTTCGCAGCAGAAAGGAATAAGGCCTCTAGCGTGAGTTTGCCTATGTGCCTCGCTTATTTCGTTTTCCTGGATGGTAATATTGCGTAGATGCGTCCGAGTGGCTGGTGGCAAGCGCTCTAAGAATCGAATAGTCACCGCGGTAGCCGAATAGTACGTGTCATCCAGATACCACCCTCGGTCAAAGTCCTCTACTATTGCAGGAGGCCGTGGAAGAAATTCGAAGATCGTGTCAAACTCAGCGCGATCCGGCATTCGCCATGGGTCCGGGCGCCATCCAAGCATCAACGCCTGAACCGTCTGATTTGGGTACTCCAGATCTTCGTGTACAATCCTACCGTCTGTGCAAAGTCAGAGAACAGCTCAATTTGACTAGCCGAAGCATGCCTACTGTCGTTGTCTTCAGACTCTCTGGTATACTCTTTGGAAGTCAACCGCCAGAACTCTGGGTGGGTAGATAGGATTTGCAACAAGTCTTGTAGTAGAGTTGTGTGCGCTGTATAGTCTATACTCCAAACTACGCCTTCATTAAACAGTGTCCCGGGGCTGAGCCAGTGAATCCTGTCGCCCATCCTGATGAACGCTTTCTCGATCTGCTCCGCCGCGGTACTATCCGGGTGCAGCTCTCGTAGGCGTTGTATAGCTTCGAGCGTAACCAGAGTATAGGACCACTCGAACATACGTCGGAGAGGTCGTTCTCGTTCACAGAGAAGACGATTCCATAAAAGCGCGTTCGAGCATTCGCTGTCAGGTTCGGGTACTTCGAGCTTTGTACGGAATGTAACCCTGTTCACCTGCAGAGCCAGACCCTCCATCTCGGTCGCAGTCTTCTTGCAAGTGTACTGCAAACTTAAATTGATCGGACGTCCGCTAGCCTGTCGAAGCTTGTCAGACGTGGCATCGTGGTGGTAACCGTCTTCCTCAAGAACATAGTAGTGGTAGACCTCATCGCGCAACTCCCGCGGGAGACGGAAGAGGAGGGATTCGTTTTGTTCGTTCATTTTGGTGAGGCGGTGTTGGTGTTTCGAAGCGTCGCGATGAGGAGGGCGGACAGGTGGTGAAAAGACGTCCAAGCGTGTGTCTAGTGGCTGTCGTGCGCTGTCGACGTGTCGACCGGTAAAGTTTAATCGATGAGCAGTACAAGCCGACGAATTGTAGTGTGTTTCGAAGCAAGAATTTCCCGAAGAACTTTAGATACTGACCGTAGCAATCCCGCTCGCGCAAATTCACCGTCGGTATTGTTGGCTGTGAGGAGTTGAAGTTGCTAGGCGAAGGGCGCGCGCACATCGAAGGGCGGCATCACTCACTAAAGAACGCGCCCTCCATCTCCATTTTTATCTCGCCTATGAGAGAAGATGGGAACTGTACGCGTATACATACAAGATATACATAAGGGTTGAGCGTGTGAAGCTTGAGGAGCGGTGGTTGGGTGTTCGAGAAGTGAGGCGGGCAGTTTGCCGGCGGCAGGCGGCAGTCGGGTTTCAACCACCCAGCCACCCAACCGGTCATCAAGGAAGTAACGAGCACTTGAGTTTGACAGTGACAGCAACGGTTATCGTCACATAATGGTGCAATCAATCGCTTCATCGACGTTCAAACTTTGCCGCCGATTCCATCCGCCTTCCAGAACGAGGTGAAACAAACGGTAAACTTTACTTAAGGCTCTGCGCAATGTGTTGTAACACGGCCTCTTCAGCTTACTCCCAAACTAAGTTACGATCGCAATCAATCTTCTTAGGATGACAGGTTTCAGCAAAATGACGCGAACCTTAGATTCTGCTCCCGTAGTAAGACAGAGCCGAGTTTAATAACGACGTACGCTTCATAAAGTCATTGTCCCGCCGCCATGGGCTAGGCGATGTATCTCAACAAAGACGCTATTGCTTTGACATCATGCTCACAACGACAATCGACGGTAGCGACTTTGAAATGATTTTCTTAGGACGCGGACATCTTTCACACGCTAGTGAGGGTAACAATGTGTGCTCTTTGGAGCAGGATGAAGGCAGTGAATGTCTCGACCTCTTTCGGACCCTTTCTACCGTAATTTTGGGTCAGCAGATGTGCAACCGGACCAAAACAAGGCATCTGAGCCTTCATTCATCTATCAGTTCAGTCCAGAATTGCGATCTCGGGCGAACAAAGGTACTTACACTCTACACTCCCAGCTTAACGCTACTTTCCACCTCAGAACCCTCTACCCCCGCAGTCATGGAGGCCACAACCCACCAGCTGTCAACATATCCTCACCTCATTCCCCTGCCTACCTCAGAGACTAACTACCATCGCCGGCAGCCTAAGATCCGGAGTATGTCTGACGTTGACATACAACGACTCCGACGCTCAGACAGTTTTATGAATCACAACTACCATATCAACACAACACCCACGAGGCCTCGTCGCACAATTTCTGGCTCAACTACACCAGAATCCAAATACCGGCCACACCATAGGAAGGGCGAGTTACGATACGACTTCAGATTCGGCAACGGCTTCGAGCCAAAAGAAGACGCACGCCGCAAACATGCTCGACATAGACGGGATCGAAGCAGCGTCTTCACAGTCGCAAGCGCACACACACTATGCTCGATACCTTCGGAGCCGCCAACCCCTACATCGCCTTCGCAATCTTTCCTAGACCTATACTCACCGTCTCTCCCTCCTTCACCAATCAAGGCTTCACATCCGGCATACGCGACAGCATCTCACTGCACCCTGACGCCCCTAGAACTACAAGACTGCATAGCACACGGTCGTTATTGCCGCATCAAGACATTCCTACTCGACCTTCTCCACCTAGATCTCAAGTCCTCGTCTTCTGCCTCTACCCCGAGGACCTCGATGAGGACGAGCTGCAGTCACAAGTTCCACCATGGACGGTGCAAGAGGTGCGATTTACCCGAAGCTATACTCCCGTACATTGATGGCGGATTGCTAACATCGGGTTTCCATTGCAGGGATTTTGGATGTGAAGAATGTAGTGATAAGCATATGTCAGTTCAGGAAGAAGACTGGGTGGAGCGAACACCATCACCGTTGGATATCTCGGATGAAGCACCGCAGATTGATGTAAGTCTCACTATACCCTCCTCTCTTTTCCCCGGCGTATCACTAACATGACTCTCCTATAGCCAATCGCTTTCATCCCCATCTCCACCACCCGACCCCATCCTCTTGACACCGGCAGCGACTCCGCATCTACATCGACACCCAGCTCTCACTCCAGCTTCTCCTTCTCGCCATCCCTCTTCGAATCCACGCCACTCCCCCAAGACACCCCAACAAGCCCCTCGCCATCAACAAGTCCAATAAACTACTCCCTCCCCATCCCCTACTACCGACCGTCCCGCCCAACCAGTCCAGCAACACCATCCCGTGCCCGCGTACCATCTGGCTTCACGGGCTTCACCAGATACATATCTCCAAGAAGCTCCGAAATCAAACCCAGCACCTCAGTCATAGGCGAAAACATCCCCGCAACCGCCGTAGCAATGCTGCAAGCCTCGCCAACTACCATCCACATCCGGCAACCTCTTTCAAGACCTGGCACCGCTATTCAGACTACTCCCTCGCCATCACCTTTATCCACACCCGTAACTGAGATTGGAGACCCACTCGCGGATACACCGACACCCACTCTCTTCATCCGAAGTTCGCACTCACGGCCTTCCCCATCACCATCGCCTCTATCCACACCGGTGACTGAAAGCGAAAACCCGCTTTCGGATATCACACCCCAACCCTCGCCTACGACGACTATCATCCGCCATTCCCCATCACCTCTATCTACACC